AGCGTGCGTGCTTTCGCCTTGCTGTTGTGCTCGTGACAGGTGGTGCTGAGTCATTTCAGCTATGGCAAGTGGAAGAAGCAACCGGAGCCTTTTGAAGGCATGGCAGAGCTGTTTAAACCCTTGCCCGACAAGTGCGACTACGACAACGACCTCTTCAACCCCGCCAAGAAAACATGGAAGTCGTTCACCCTCCAATGGCTTGAGAACGTGCGCATCAAGCCAAAGCACCACGGAAGCAAACAATACCTCAAAGTGCGTATGCATGCGTGTGCGCGTCTGTGTTTGGGCCTGCGTGTGTGTTTGTGTTTGTGTTTGTGTGTGGTTGTGTTTTGCTCGCCATCACATGGTTTTGCCATCCGCCTCCGCTCCCGCTCTGCACACACGCACACACTCACGCAACACACACACACACACACACACACACACACACACACACACACACACACACACACACACACACACACACACACACACACATGAATGCAACACGCAACACGCACACTCACGCATACTCTGTAACCCCACTGCTCGGCGCTCGCAGTACCACGACAAGGAATCGTTTTTTGAGCGCATCATGACGTTCCTGAACGCGGAGGTGTTCTACCAGCTCTCCCAACCCATGCTGTACAACCTCATGTCCAAGGGCATGAGCCCGGCCCCCTCACAGCCATCCACACCAGCAGCTGCTGCTCGCGTGGCCCAGCCAACACCGTACGTCACACTACTTGCTTCTGCTGCTTCTGCTGCTGCTACTGCTGCTGCTGCTGCTGTTGTTGTTGTTGTTGTTGTTGTTGTTGTTGTTCTCTCTCATGTTTGTCAGTTCAAGGTACATGAGTGCACGCGAATGTGCCGCGGCTGATGAGGTGCCTTCGCCCTCCAAAGCGTGCGCCCGTTGCTTACCCTCACTCACCTGTGAACTGCAGTGGGCGGCGTGACCTGATGCAAGCATGCCAAGTTCTGGACAAGGAAGAAGCCATGTCCAAGTTGTGAGTCACTGGTGCAAGTGAACAGTACACCTGCTCATTCGACTTCAATTTGTGCAAATCCCTGAGCGTGTGTATGTGTGTGCGTGTGTGAATTGTCGACCATTTGCCTTCTGCATTTTCTCCTCCAGCACCTCATTCTAGGATGCCTTTGCTCTTGTTTGCGGGTTGCTAGTGCTGAAAAAGTGTCCAAGGGCGTTGTTTCAATGCCACCTACGCAGGAGCCAGAGCAGCAGAAGCCAGGCGATGATCTTGATGCGCAACTCGAAGCCGGTGAGCTGGTGTTTGCGCGTGTGAGCACGTGTACAAGCGTGTGTCTTCAACTTGTACGTCATGAGCGCTTGTATTGTGATGATTGTTTGTACGGTGTTTTCTGTGTCACACGCACACACACAAACATGGCAGATGGCAGATGACACACGCTAACACGTCGAATGCATGGCCACACACCGCACCCCGCACGTGTTGATTGCAGCGGCTGAGGTTGAAGACGTGGAGCAAGATGAGGAAGAAGAGGACGAGGACGAAGCGGAGGAGAGCGCAAGCGAAAGCAGTGACAGTGAAGAGAGCGAGAGTGGCGATGACGACGACGACGACGAAGAGGAAGATGAAGGAGGGGCAGAGGAAGATGATGATGAAGATGAAGAAGAAGAAGATGAAGAGGAGGAGGCGGAGGAGGACGCGCTGCCGAAACGTGCTTCAAAGGTACCCATAGTCTGTTCTTTCGCCAACTGCAATAGCTTCCGCATTGATGTGGGTTTGTGCAGCACGCTGATGCGCCAAAGTGGCACGGGCTAATGGTCGCATTCCTGCTTTTCCTTGTTGCCCTGTTGTTTCGTGTGCTACCCCAGCGGCGCGCTGCTGACAAGGAAGTGGACAAGCAGGTCTGTCAACCGTGTCGTCTGCGTGTCTTGCGCGCACTTGTTTGCTTGTGTGCAGGCGCAATGGGTGCTCGTATCGTCTGCCCGTGTCGTTTCCAGCGTGCTTTGTGATACAAGGCAAGGGAGCTTTCATTGTTTCTCGCTTACTCGCGTGTGTTCTCATGCTACTGCTGCGTCGTTTCAACAACACACAGACGGCAGCGAGTGTTGCCCGTTCACTGAAGAGCAAGTCGTCCTCACTCAAGTGAGTGCACGGTTGCTTGTCCGCCTGTTGCGCTGTGTCGTGATTTTGTCGTGTTAAGATGTGCTGCGTTGGTGAAATGTTTGATTCGTTTGTTTGTTTCTTGTTGTTTTCGTTGTCTTGCGCTAGTCGCTGACACAAGCCAACTATAGTGTCCAGTTGGTCTTACCACGCATACGCGCTCACACACCAAAACCACGCCTTCCCTCCCCTTCCTCGCAGGAGCACCGGCGCAGACCCGATTGACGAAATCAGAGCTGAGCGGCAAAAGGCGGGAAAGAAAGCAATGCAGAAGAAGAAGAAGCAGCAGGGCAAGACCAACAAGAAGAAGCAGCAGCAGAAGAAGAAGAAGAAGAAAAAGCAGAAAGGGTCTTCGTAAGTTCGTTGAAATCGAGTTTGTCGTGTCTGCCAACCCGTCTGCCCTTCATAATGTCCGTGTCTCTGGTGTGTGTGTGTGTGTGTGCGTGTGTGCGTGGTGTGTGGTGTGGGTGTGTGTTTGTGTGGCTTTCTGTCCGTCCGTCTGTCTGTCTCCCCCTTCCTCTCTCTGTCTCTGTCTCTGTCTCTCTCTGTCTCTGCCTCTCTCTCTGTCTCTCTCTCTTTCTGCCTCTCTCTCTCTGCCTCTCTCTCTCTCTCTCTCTCTCTCTCTCTCTCTCTCTCTCTCTCTCTCTGCCTCTCTCTCTCTCTCTGTCTCTGTCTCTCTCTTCTCTCTTCTCCTCAACTTTGTTGGCAGTATCTGTCCTCCTGCGCTGAAAGCGACTCCGAGCGCCGGATATTTAGGCTGCCAAAGACAAAACCTCTCCTTGTGTGCACTCGCACTTGTGCATGCACACACCTTTCACGCCACTCTCCGTGGCTGGTGTTGCTTGCTCACCGCCGCCATCATTGGTCGTACCAAATGGCGGTGGTCCGTGCGTTGCACGCGCACCTCGCGCGTGTGTCTGGCATCTTCATGCTGCTTCCTTCCTTGGGACTCGCCCACACTTGCCATGTTTTGGCGGTGTGAGCTGGGCGAAGGATGCGGCCTCTGGTGATGTTTTGATGCAGGCGTTGAGGCTGTACTCGCCATCACCCGTGTCATTGCCGTCTCTTCGGCAAGCCGCGCTTGTACCCGTTGCATGCGCAGCACACACATGCCGTGATGGTACATTCCAACCCTTTCTTTCTTCTAAACTTCGAAATGTTTCCCGCCCCTCTCGCCTTCCTCCTCCTTTGCCTTCCTCCTCTCTTCTCTCATTTTATCGCCTTTGGCCATGTGCGTTGATTGTGCCGTGTGTCTGATTCGTTGCGCCAATACTCACATCTGCGGCTTATGCTTGTTGCTTCGACGGCCATGTCGCACACTGCAGTGTCCGATCTCGTGAGTCTGAAGTGCACCTGCGCCTTTTCCACAATGGGGAGACGTATTCGCTCTGACGTGATTGACACCCAACACTCACTCTTTATTTCACCCACATTCACTTTTGGTCTTTCACTCACATTCACTCGCTCACTCACGCGTGTGCTTGCCTTGTTTGGTTTATCACACAGATGAGGAGGAGGAGGAAGAAGAAGAAGCGGGTTCGTCGTCTGAGGAGGAAAGCCGCGGGGAAGAGAGCGAGGAGCAGACGGGGGTTGACGCGAGCGAAGAGAGCAGCGAGGAGGAGGAAGAGGAGGAGGAGGAGGAGGAGGCGCGGAAGAAGCGGCGTGGCGGCCGCAAGGGCGGGGCTCAAGCGGCCAAGAAGGCCAAGAAGGCCAAGACAACAAAGACAAAGACCAAGACGAAGAAGAAGCGCGAGGAAGAGGACGAAGAGGAGGAGGATGAGGAGGGTGAGGAAAGCGAACATGCGGTGGGCGGTTCCTCTGCGCAGCTGAACAGATCATATTCGATTGCGTATGTACGCTCGAAGCGTCGGCTTGGTGACTCTGGACAGCGGCGGCGCAAGGCGTGGGATGACGACGAGGTTGCTGCACTGCGGGAAGGCCTGCTGATGTATGGTGTGGGCGCGTGGGCGCCGATTGCGGCCAAGTTTGCCGATCGCTTCCAAGAGCGGACTGCCGTTGACCTCAAGGTGTGCCCGCTGTTTGCTGCTATGTGCTGCTTGCTATTTGTTTGCTGTTTGCTGTTGTGTGCTGCTTGCGTTGTGCTGTTGCTATGTGTCCTCCCTGTCACAGACTCACTTCGATTTGGTGCTCTTGTTTGCTCCCTATCACACCCGATGACGTTGTGTGTTCTGGTTGTTGTGTGCATTTTACCTGTGCTCTCTTCAGGACAAGTACCGCAACTTGAAGAAACGGGCGTGGCAGAACGAGGAGTTCCCCACCGCCTACGATATGGAGAAGGCCAACGCCAAAGGTGTGTGTGTCTGTGTGTGTGTGTGTGTGTGTGTGTGTGTGTGTGTGTGTGTGTGTGTGTGTGTGTGTGTGTGTGACGCGGGTATGGGAGCGCGTCACCGGGCCATTTCTGACTGTTGCGCGTGCTTGCTGCGTTGCTGTCTCGCCAGTCCCTCTGTGCAATCCGAGCTCACGCCTTTCTTGCCCTCTCGTCGGCGTGTCGTGTTGCTGTTTGTTGTCTCCGTTTATATCTCGCAGCCAAGAAGGAAGCGAAAGCAGCTGCAGCTGACGAAGAAGATGAAGATGAGGAGGACGATGAAGGTGAAGAGGAAGAGGAGGCGCCACCCAAGAAGAAGGGTAAGAAGGGCAAGAAGGGCACGTCTGCCAAGTCCAGGAAGACGCAGAAGAAACAGAAGCAGGAGGAAGAAGAGGAAGAGGAGGAAGAGGAGGAGGAAGAGGAAGAGGAAGCGGAAGAGGAAGAGGAAGAGGAAGAAGAGGGCAACGACGATGATGAGGACGACGACGAGGGTGATGATGATGAAGAGGAGGAAGAGGAGGAAGATGATGAGGAGGACGCGCCTCCAGCAAAGAAGACAAAGGGCGGCACACCCTCACCGAAGCACACAAGACGGGCGACACGGTTGTCGCAAGAGGAGAATCCAACACGTGAAGTCAGCCCTGAGGGCGTTGTCACGCGCTCACGCAAGCAAGGCCGTGGCGGGCGTGGCCGTGGGCGTGGGCGTGGCGGGCGTGGCGGAGGTCGTTCATCCAAGTAGTGGTGCGTCGTTGTCGGGTGGGCAGTGCTCTAAGGCAGCACCTGATTACCCCTCTCCTGAGCCTTTTTTTTTTCTCTTTTTTTTCTTTCTCCTTTCTTGTCCCCCCCCCCTCCTTATTTCCTTCTGTTCCCTCATATCAGCTGTTATGTTACGACATCTCTCCCTTTGTATAGTGCATTTGCATGTGTGTGTTTGTGGGGTTGTGTGCATCTATCTACGTGCTATCCGCACGTTTGGTTTTACATTGGGTTTGTTTTCACGCGTTACACGACTTGGTATCATTACACGCACACACACACACACACACGCTGTTGAGATACAGAGAAGGGGACAACAAGTGGGAGGAGGGAAGGAGGGAGTGCACACACACACACACACACACACACACACACACACACACACACACACACACACACAGAGGCAGCCACAAGCGCGCACACACACACACACACACACACACACACACACACACACACACACACACACTACGTTTTGTGCTGTTTGAGAGCGTCTGGTTGCCCAAATCCGCAAAACTCGTTAGGCGTGATATATGTAAACAATTTTCTTTCACGAATTTTCCAGGTGGCTTTTTGCGCAAACACCAGCCAGCCAGCACAGCAGGGAAGCCGCTCTCGCCTGCAATCCGCATCCTGGAGTGAAAAACCATCACACACACTCACCCCACACACACACACCGCACACTGCCGACCGACCCTTCTTCCACAAACCGTTCCAACCACAGCAGCCACCTCTTCTTCCAGTGAGTGATGTGCAACATGCAAACGTGTGTCTGTGTGTGTGTATTCGTATGTGTGTACATGCGTGCGTTCTCGCCACTGCGCCTGGCAACAATGTGATGCACCAATTGAGTTGCGCGAGGGGGTTGTTCACTGAGCACTGGCCGTTGACCAGTGTTAGGTGTTGATGATATGGAATCGTCCACTGTTTGTGCACATCGGTTGCCGCACATCACTGTCATCAAGGACCTTCCTTTTTTCGTGTTGATCCCACCCTCGTTCCAGCGTAGCTCACACTGTGGTGCCCTTGTCACTGTGCCATGCACCCGTCTGCCACTGCATAACAGTCCCTCCTTCCACCCTTCTCTTTACACCGAGTGAAGTAAGTACAAGTGCTGTCTTTTTCCTTTTTGTTTACTTATCAAGCACACGCACCTGCCACTTGTACACTCGTGTGCCGTATCATTGCACATGGGATGTGTGTCGTTGGTGTGCTTGCACGGCACGACGTCCACTCCCACGCCTCCAAACAACACACGCACGCACACACAGTTCACAGTCCCCACACGTCAATGCTGACACATGCAACCCCACCAAATCAAAGCACACTTGCTCGCACGTTATATGACTGCAATTCCGCTCCCCCTCTCCCCTCTCCCCTCTCCATGAACACAACCAACATAACCAACACCACCGCTATCCTCCTCCTCCTCCTCCTCCTCCTCCTCCTCCTCCTCATCATCCTCATCCTCATCCTCATCATCATCATCCTCATCCTCATCATCCTCATCATTATGAACATCATCACTCTGGTCGTGACCGTGCAGCTTCTACACCAACAATGAGCGCAACACGTCTTTGGGTTGGTGGCATCGCTGAGGACGTCACTGTCCTTGACCTCTACAACCTCTTTGCCCCGCACGGCAAGGTAAGCAACCGTGGATGCAAACGCTGATGTACACCGGGCCAGCCACCACACCTTCAAGCAGGCTCTCCGCGGCACACATGCACACACGTACATGCTTACACACAAACAAACAGGCACGAAACCCAATCGCAAGCAACGCATCACACGCATCACAAGCGCAAGCACTCACAACACCTTCGCTTTGGACCTGCACTGATGAATGCGCAGATCGACTCCATCGTCATCCGTCCCAACTACGCATTCGTGGACATCGAGTGCCAGGGCAATGTGGACGATGTCGTCCAGCAATTCCACGGTGCGTTTACCAACACCCGCGCGCATGCAAGCTCGCCTGCATGATCACGGCTATGTTTGGTGGTGAACGGCACGAAGACATCCCTTGGCGCTTTTGTGACGCCCAATCTGTCCTGCCATGCTGTTTGCTTGCTGTTTGGCTGATATCCGTGCTTGATAGAGTACGACCTGCACGGCTCAGTGCTCACAGTGGAAGAGGCCAAGTCCAGCCAGAACACCGCCATCACCAGCCCGGTTGGTCACATTGCCCCTTCGCACATGTTTTCTGATGTGTGTATGTGTTTGTGTGTCTGTGTTTTTTTTTTTTTTTTTTTTCGTTGGTTGGGTGGTTCAGAGTGTGTCATTTTCTCTCCCTTTGCATCGCAGTTGTCCGACTCAACTGATCATGTTCGCTTCGTCATACGTGATCACGCCGATGCACTTGCACTGACGCGATGCCTTCTTCGCTCATTGTCCCTCTCCACTCCTCCTCTTTTTCCCCTCCCTCCTATCCGCTCCTTCCCTTCTCCTCCTCGTTTTCGACCACCAGGTGTCCGTGTTTGTTGTGGGCATTGCAAGCGATGCGGACCTTGACACGCTGAGGGAGCAGGTTGCAGGGTGCACCAGCCACGAGATCAAGGAGTCCAAGATGCACGGCGCAGCCTCTGCCCACGAGGGCGACGAGCCAGCGCCCCCGGCCGCCGAGTTTGTCTTTGAGAACGAGGATGCCGCACGTGAGGCCGCTGCCGCCATTGAGGCCGCCGACCTCCCAGGCCCAGAACCAAAGGTGCCTTGCCACTGCCTGCCGTGTGCACGTGCAGGGTGTTGACGAACTAGTAGTAGTAGTAGTAGTAGTAGTTGTAGTAGTTGTAGTAGTTGTAGTAGTTGTAGTAGTAGTAGTAGTAGTAGTAGTAGTAGTAGTAGTTGTTGTTGTTGTTGTTGTTGTTGTTGTTGTTGTTGTTGTTGTTGTTGTTGCTGCTGCTGCTGCTGTTGTTGTTGTTGTTTAAGTTGTTGTTGTTGTTTAAGTGTGCAAAGTGCTGGGTTGTGGGCATTGCTGCAATGACGAAGATGATTGCCTATTAATGACTGTGTCCACCACACTGCACATGCATGCATGCGCTCCTTGGTGTCCATTCTCATTTCCACAGTGCTTCACTGGCATCCGCTTCGGCGACACCCGCCGGTGCGTTGTTCAGAGGACCTTGAACGTCATTTCGTGTGTATGTTTGTCTGTCTGTGTATCTGTGTGGGTGTATGTGTCTGTGCGTGTGGATATGCCTTGCTTTCTTCGATTTGCTTCTTTTGCCTCCTTCCCCAAGTTCTCACACGCGGCTCCCTTTTTACGTCCTTTGCTTGACCACACCAGCGCTCGCAAGCCACGCCCAGACATGGTGAGAGCGTTGAAACCCCATGCACCGCCCATCGTGCTTTTTGAACTTGACGGGTCTCACCCGCCTCCTACGCTTGCGGCTTGGCTCCAACCATTCTTACCTTTCATTTCCCTCACCCGCTCTCCCCCCTCCCATGTTATCGGTGACTCTTTTCCTGTCACTCATACTCCCCCCTACCTCCCATATCCCGCCAACTGCAAACTACAGGCGCTGCCGTTCCCCGTGCAGCTTGTTGTGCGCCCGTCGCTGGTCGGCGCCATCATTGGCCGTGGCGGCGCCAACATCCGCCAGCTGTCGCAGGTCAGCCGCGCCCGCGTGGAGCTGGAGCGCCGCGACCCGCACCTCGGCGCCGTCGGCCGCCGCGTCTTCATCGACGTACGTCCCTTGGCCCGCCGTGCTTGCGTCTGCACAGAGAGCGCATGTGTGGGTGTTGTGGATGTGTTGGCGTGTGTTGGCGTGTATGGCGCGTCGTCTCATTTAAATCACACATCCACTCACCCACTCACTCGTTCACACACATACACACACTCGTGCAATGCATGCGTTCCCTGTGTTCTGGTGCGTGCTGCTTGTTGCTGTACGCCCTTCCCTCGTGTGTGTTGCCTTGTCATCCCACAGGGTTCCCTGAACAACACAGTGGAGGCGTTCCGTGCGCTTGTGCAGCTCATGGCCGACAACGACGTCGAGCTCAACGGCGAGGAGCCCGTGGAGGCGGAGGACCGCGTAAGCACAAGCCCCCACCACACACGCGCACACACACACACACACACACACACACACACACACACACACACACTCTCTCTCTCTCTCTCTCTCTCTCTCTCTCTCTCTCTCTCTCTCTCTCTCTCTCTCTCTCTCCCCTCTCTCTCCCCCTCTTGTACACGCATGTTCACACACACACACACAACCACACGCGCTTGCGCTCTGGCTGCTGTATTGCTTGCGTATTTGATTGTTGCGGTGCTGATTGCTGTATGTTCGTGTTCCTATCAGCGTGCTCACCCTGTGCACCACCCCCAACGTTTGTGACTCTTGTGCGAGGCGGGTACTGCAGATCACGAGCATCCAGATGATGATCCCTGGAGAGATGGTTGGCCACCTGATTGGCCGGGCCGGCGCCAGCATCAAGTACATCACAGAGACCAGCGGTGCTGGTATTGAGCTCCTCCCCCTTCAGTACCCAGCAAACATGTCCCCCGTCAGGTCAGTCTTTGTGTGTGTGCGCGCGCACGTGTGTGTGTGCGTGCGTTTGCGATCGGTTGTCTGTCTACCTGTGTGTGTCCGCCCACTTCTTCGTTTCTGCTTCGCTGTGGTCCTCGCACCTCATCCATGACATACACGCACATGCATGTAACAACAACACCACACCAACTTCGCACCAACAGGATTGTGAAGATTGAGGGCACGCCTCGTCAGCTGACGCACGCGTTTGCGCTGATGCTGCGCAAGTTCTCCAACGCCATGCGAAGAAGCATGGAGGTGATGCGCGGCCCACCCATGATGGGCATGATGCAACAGCAGCAGCAGCAGATGCCAGGCATGGCCCCGCCATACGTGCCCGGCTACGGGCCCGGCCCCATGATGATGGCCCCGGTCGAGGTCATCACTGTGCGCGTGCCTGCATGGAGCGTGGGCGCCCTCATTGGCCGTGGTGGCAGCAACATCAAGCACATGATGGAGGAGACGGGCGCAGAGATTCGCATTCAGAACTCGGGCGACGACGTCGAGGAGCCCGTGAGTGCACACAGTGAGGCGGCACTTTTGCTTTTTTTTTTTTTTTTTTGTGGTTGTCTAGTCTGACCATTCCACCAGAATTCATGTTTGTTCAATGCCACTGAACTGCATCGCTGCCCACTTGTCCCTTCTTGCACAATCACTCACACGTTCACGCATTCACACTTTGCCACAACAACCAACCACCCAACCAACGCTTGCGGCGACTGCCCTGCACTGCAGCTTGAGCGGGACTGCGTGGTTCGCGGCACCACCGAGCAGCAAGTGCGTGCGCATGCGCTCATCTTCCGCCGCATGCAGGACGAGCAGGCCCGCCTCAACATTCCGCCAACGGACCCCCGCTCCAACGACCTCTTCCCCGTGGTCATGGAGGTCCCCGCTGCCAAGGTTGGCCGCGTCATTGGCCGGGGCGGTGCCACCATCCGCGACATCCAGCAGAAGACAGGTGTTGGCGTGGAGGTGCAGCAGAACGAGGAGAACCCAGAGGCAAACGCCGCCGTCATGCTTCACGGCTCCTACCGCAGCGTCCAGGCTGCTCTCAACATCCTCCGCCCGGTGCGTGTGTGTGTGTGTGCGTGTGTGTGTGTGTGTGCATCCGTTCAAACTCTTGTCCGTTTGCTGTCGTCGTGGTGTGGTTGCGTACTTATCGGGATGGCTGTCCGCTTCATCATCAGGCACCTGTCCGTCTTTATTTGTTTCTTTCTTTCGTTCTCACACACGCACGCGCACGCTGGTATCTTGCCTTTTTTTTTTTTTTTTTTTTGGTTGCAGATCCTCCACCAATGAATTTGTATGCATATGCGCCCGTGCTACGTGCTGGACAGGTGGGTCCATCCATCTTTGCATGCGCTTGCCACACTTGTGTTGGTCGCCATTGACTGGCATTCTTCTGTTGTCACTGCAGTTGATGTGGTCATTTGTTTCCACCACGCCCTCCCGCCCTTTGTCCCGCTTGCATGCCCAAATACCGGTTCGTTCTCTGACTGTTGATCTCTCTGGTGCTTTGTCTCCCAGGTTATTAGGAATTGACTGTGCCAGGTTGAAGGCCCTACCGACAAGCTGGCCCCTCTTTCCCATTCCTGATGAACTGCTCTGCAGCACGTGACAGCACGCGAGCAGGCAGGCGCTTATTCTTTTTCTGGAGTGTAGGAGAATTTGAATGGAGGCGTGAAGAAGCCAGAGGGAAGACGTGTTGTATGTGTAGGTGCGTGCGTGTGTGTGTGTGTGTGTGTGTGCGTGTGCGTGTGTGTGTGTGTGTTCGTTTGTCTGTGATTCTATGCGTGGTCATCGTATGCGTGTGTGCTGTGTTGTGTGTGTGTGGCATGTGAAGATGAGAAGCTGGGTGACATGACACGCTTCACCGAGTGCTAGCTGCAGGGAGGAGTGTGTGTGTGTGTGTGTGTGTGTGTGTGTGTGCGCGCGTGTTGTTACATTGGTTCCCCCTTTTCTCCTTGTCTTGTTTTGTTGTCTGGGTGTGGTGTGGTTGTGTATGTGTACGTGGGTGGGTTCATGTGTGTGGGGATGACGCGTGGTGGGTGCTTGTGGCGTGCCGTTTTGCTTTTTGGCCTTTGGTGTCTCTGATGCTGTTGTTGTGAGCACTATTTGCCCGCCGCCCATCGACTGGCCTTGTCTCTTTTGTCAACTGGTACCTGTTGCTGTTGTTTGGTGACTGTGTTGTTTGTTTCTCTGTGGTTCTATGACAAGAAGCGCCTCCATTCCCCCCCCCCACAAGCAACGCCACCGTGTGTGTGTGTGTGTGTGTGTGTGTGTGTGAGAAAGAGAGAGAAGAAGGAATCATCCTCGTCACCGCAATCATGTCTTCATCATTGGAATTGCCTTGCACAACAATTCCCCTCCAAGCAAGCAAGCAAGCGGTGATGATGACACAGCAAAGGAGGAATCGACGCGGAGGAGCAGGAGACGATGAGCACAGGCCTTTGGTCGCACGCCATGTGCAACAGCAGCAGCAGCAGCAGAGCCAGTATGGCGATGAGAGCGGTGGTGTTTGTACGTGCTGCAGCGACGGTGCGAAGACTGCGTTGCTGGCGGTTGCAATGGTGCTGGTTGGAGTGGCGTTTGGGCTGGCCTTCTATGCGTTCTACGAGCGCGTCGTGGTGACGGAGACGGTGGCGCTCGCGGCCCTGGCGGCCTCTGGTGGCGTGTTTGGGATCTTGGCCCTGCTGCTCGCCGTGCACATCAGCGGGGTTCACCGACGTGCCAGGAGGCAGGCGTACCTCCGCAACAGTGCGTACACGCGGCACTTGTTTGCCAACACCACAGAGAACCAGGCCTTCGATCCGCGCGATGCAGGCAACGGCGGTGGCGGCGGTGCAGTCGATGATCTGGAGCAGGAGGAACGTGCTGTCGCCCATGACCAAGCCGGGCCCAGCACTGTGGGCGCTTATCCAGGCCACACACACCCCCCTGCGCGGTACCAAGGCCAGGAGCACGCCGCGCATCAGGCGCAAGGCGCGGGGGCGGAGCAGGCACTCACTGGCAGGGGTGATCATGTCGAGCGCGACACCATCGACGACGACGGCAACAGCGGCATGTCGGAGGCGCAGCTGTACCAGGAGGTGCAGCGCGTGGCCCATCAACTCGAGGCTGCAAGTGCGCAAGGGGATGACGATGCAGTGGCTCGGATGCTTCGACAGCTCAACAGGCGGCTTGTGGTGACCGAGACGCTGCTCGCATCAACTGGTATTGGCCGAGTGGTGAATGGCATCCAAGGCGCGTGTCGGCCGCAGGCACAGGCGCTCATCGCCAAGTGGCGGTCCGCTGTGACCGGCAGCAGTGAGTATAGCCAAGCTGAGATGAGCAGTAGTGGCCGTTTGGATCGACGGGCTGGCACTGGCCGCCATGCTCCCGTGGACGATGCTGCCAGCGGCGGGGACACCCAGGACGAGAGCGCTGTTGTTGCGTCGCTGACGCGGCTCAACGCAAGGCTTGTGGGTTATGGGGAGCAAGGAGATGTTGCCAAGGCACAGGCACTGCTGAACAAGCTTGAGGCTGGCCAGGACGATCTCACACTAGAGCGGTTACGCGACAGTGGGCTCTATGCGACCTTGACCCAGTTGAAGCGGGGTGACATTGGAGCACGAGCACAACGCATATTGCAGCACGTCAGAGACAGCCAACACTCGTCGCAAGCGTAGCGACCACCGTTGTGTGTGCTCTGTGTGTGTGTGTGTGTGTGTGTGTGTGTGTGTGCATGCACTCTGTGTGCTCTGTGTGTGAGTGAGTGTGTGTGTGAGTGTGTGTGTGTGTGTGTGTCTGTCTGTCTGTCTGTCTGTCTGTCTGTCTGTCTGTCTGTCTGTCTGTCTGTCTGTCTGTCTGTGTGCGTTCGCTCATCTGTCTACTTGTGTCTGTGTGTGCAACTGCCTGTCTCTTCGTTGTTCTGTCTACCTCTTCCGCGCTGTGGCTGTGCAATGCACAAACCAGAACGCTCTCTTGTCACCACCACGTTTTGTGGGTAGCGCCTGCCTCCTGTCTCTTCACTTTCTCAAGTTATCGTTATCCTGTTACGCATTGCCCTTCTTCGCTGCCACCACTTTGCTCCCCGAGCTCCTCCCCAGCACTCTGCTTTGAATGCACATGAACCACAGATGCACTGTCTACGGTTGCATACGGCAGTGGCGGGTGCAACAGTGTAATTTTAAGGCGCAGCAAGCAAGGCAGCTAGCTGCCTTGGTGGCATGCATGAGTTGGATAGTAACAACAAGCACAAGGAAGCAGCAACAGCAACAATAGCAAGGCAAGGGCGATCAACGCTTGGCGGTCGCTCCAGGCGTGTGTGTATGTCTTGGAGCTCGACGCTCAATGCACTTCAACAGCAGAGACGACACGCAGGAGCAGGACGCTGCACCACCCGATATACTGCACAGAGTGAAGTCAAGCAAGCAAGCGAATAGGGAGGTGGGTGAACGAACTAGAACTGAGTGGAGTGACTAAGCAGCAACAAAGAACCAACCAACAGAGAATGTACATCGTCAGTGATCAGAATAACGAGTGAACAAGAGGGCGGGAGAAGAATGCACGCTGGGATGGTGTGCTGTGAGGGTGCAAGGTGTTGCACTCTCCTACTCTCCTACTCTCAACCAAAGCGACAGCAAGGCAGGAGAACCCAAGTCACAGCACTGACCAGGGCACTATGATGTCCCCATGTAGTGATGTGATGTCGCACGTTGCATGTACACGTGAGCAACATTACAACAAGAGGGGACGACGAACATGGGGCACGCAGTGGAGGAGAATAGAGAGGAGTGACAACGTAAACGCCAGCTTCAAGTACTTCAATGACGATGCGCAGGAGCAAGACAGCAAGACGCAAGTCCTATGCTGTGCTTGCGCGAGCAAGAATCAAACGACTCGGATTGGGATTGGCCGGCATGGTTGGCTGGTTTGGGCACGGTTAGTTGCAGACACAGAGGAGGGAAGAGTAATGGTAGCAGTAGAGCATGCTCTTGTGCTCAGCAGAGCCAGGCCATGAGCAAGGGAAGAACGGTTGACCCGTTTGACCGTGTGATAACGATGGGAAGCACCAGAGAGTAAACGCAAAGTTGAGCTAAGCACGAGGAGTGGATGGTGAAGCAACACGCAGAACAAGAGAAAGGAAGGCAAAAAGAAGTCAGGGACAAGATTAAGGCATCCACACTGGCTCCTCTTGCTCCTCCACTACTACTACTTGTTGTTGCTGTTGCTGTTGCTGTTGTTGCTGCTGCTGCCGTTGTTGTTGTTGTTGTTGTTGTTGTTGTTGTTGTTGTTGTTGCTGCTGCTGCTGTTGATGATAATGCCGGTCTGGATGGCCGAGTTGTTGTTGTGCGACTTGATACCTGTCTAGTTCACGGCATAGCGTCTGCAAATCACACGTGATAGAGCGCGACATGGGGTGAGAGGATGTGCGACGACGTGAGAAGGGGAAGCGGGAGCATGTGAGCATGGAGCTGGACGTTGGCAGGTATCTGGTGTGCTTGAGGACAAGGACCGGGTGAGCGCGCATGCAAACGGCCAGGCTAGAAACGCACACGTGCTCGCGCGCGCTTGTGGGCTGTACCTTGTAGTCACGGATGATTTGTACGGCACTGTGATCAATCCAGCCCAGCTGGCGAAGGTCACAGTTGTCCCTGATATGTAAATTCGTGCGATAAAGAGGTGAGAGGTGAGATACCAACGTGTTGGGAATCAGAAGACCAAGAGAAAAAGCTGTGGAGAGAAGCTTGTGGTCTAGAAGGAACTGTTGTATTTGAAACGACATGGCGAGAGACAGAGACAGAGAGCTGAGAGACAGACAGAGAGAGAGAGAGAGAGAGGAGGGAGAGACAGAGAGAGAGAGAGAGAGACAGAGAGAAGGGGGAGAGAGAGAAGGGGAGGGAGAGAGACAGACAGAGAGAGAAAGAGAAAGAGAGACTCAGACAGATGGAGACGGAGATGGAGAGAGACGCACACACACACACACACACACACACGCACACACGCACACACGCACACACGCACACACGCACACACGCACACACGCACGCACGCACACACACACACACACACACACACACACACACACACACACACACACACACACAGATGGAGGGAGAGCGAGAACAGACGTGCTGAGACGAATGTTTGAGGGTGGGCGCTTGAAACAGGAGAAAGCGCACCTTGTGACGCGGACGAGGTTGTCGACGCTGGACACAAGGCGAGTGGCTGCGTTGTGCACATCGGCTTCGTCGATGGGTGGATACACGCAACTTGTGAGGTCGTCCGCCCTGTGAAGGGGAGGTGGGAGAGAACAGGAACAGAGAGCGGATGTGAGACGGGCAGGCGAAAGGACACGGCGCAGAATTGGAGGAGACAAGCACAAACGAACACCGCCTTTGCGTAGCCAGTCACAGGCTCCGAGACACATGTACGCAGATTGGCAACGATGACATGAGGGCGAGGCGCGCAGTTGTGCGTACACGCATACCTGATAGAGATGGGGCTGCTGGCAGCAAGCACGACTTCGAGGGACCCAGTGACAAGGTCAGAGCCCGAGTCAGATGCCCCCGCCATGAGTTGGGCGAGGAGCCTGCGAGCAAGCTCGCGACAGGATCGAAGCAGGGCCACTGTTGGCGGTAGCAATGCGAGGGCGTGTGTGTCCAGCTCATCCACACGCGACCGTGGTCCAAGGAAGGCCTGTGTGAGGAGGAGAAGGGGACCGGGGTGAGGCGGTCAGGGTAAAAATTTCGGGAGCAGAGCCAGGAGTACAAACTGGACCGCGAACGGCACGCTGAACTTCGGCAGAGGCAATGAATAGTTTGTGGTAAAAACAACCAGCGAGCACGGGTCCAAGCCAAAGCCAGGACCGGCACTAAGCGAAAAGAAAGAAAAGTAAGCAAGAGGCGGATGTGTGCTGTTCAGTTTGTTGTTTTTGATTGCACTGTACCATGGGAATGTTGTCGCGGGAGTCGACTGCACTTGCTGCATCATCCTGGCTTCCCACTGCATCCGTGAGGCGGGCTGTTGCAGATCCACGCCGTGTCCTGAGGAGGGGGCGTGTATGGACGTCAGTTGCGCGTTTCGTATGCGCGTGTGCGCGAATGTGAGTATGCGAATGTATTTGTTTCTTTGTGTGCGTATGCGCGTTGCACATTCACTTGTACACGCACAACACACACAACACACAACACACGCAAAGACGCAACACACACACAACATACACACATGCACACACACACATGCACACAACACACACATGCACACAACACACACAACACACAACACACACAACACACAACACACACGAACAACCTTCGTAGGCGTTGGAAGTGGGATGTGAGGGCGATGGACTCGCGGTGGTGGCGGCGAAGGAAATGGGCGATGATGGCCACTGCCACAAAGAAGAATGTGCCGAAGATGACACTCAGGGCAATGGTCAACTTGTCATTCCCAGACAACCCCATCCTGGGTCTGCCAGGTGTCAAGGTGTGCCTGAGGCTGACTGTCCGATCGTCCTGTGCGTCTGAGTGACTAGGTGGGATGCTGGTGCCGCCGCAAGGTTGTGGCTTGGGCAAGAGAAGAAGAGAAAACAACACAAACAAACTGCCTGCAAGCAAAGAAGCACACACAACACCCGCGGAATTAACAGACCATCGAATCATCCGTTTGAAAAGTTAAAACTCTTCGTTTGTTGTTGTTGATGACGATGGTGGAGGATGTGCGAGCGTTTGCGGCCACGTTTCTGTGGCCGCAGGGGTGCAGTGGCGGCACGCCACAGGAGCAAGTTGCAGTGATGGAGACGTTCTGCCAGGTGGCCTTCCCTCATCTAACACGCCCCCAGCGCCAGCGAGTGGCCCACACAAGCGTCCAACAACAACAACAACAGCAGCAGCAGCAACAACAGCAACACAGTGACGCGCAAGGTGATGGTTGTGGTGGTGTTGGTGGAACAGTGGGAGCAGCACCGGAACAAGGCAGATCAGCAGCGATACAAACCACAACAGCACCGCAACAAGGTAGATCAGCAGCGAAAGCACCGCTTGTGCAGCAAGACAGAGAACTGCTGGAGGAAGACGAACCGCATGCAAAGCGCGCCAAGACCGCGGCCGCACACACAGACCAATACACGCACGATGGCCACATGCCTGTCCACTACACCATGGAGCAGATGCTCGCTGTGCGACAAGCTACCAGAGGCCAGCTCCTCTCCTCTTCAGACCTGAAGCGCATCCCGCCGTTCTTGTCAGTGCCCTGTCCGTTGGTTGCGCGTGTGCTCCGTGTGTTTGCTCTGTGTGCGTGTGCGTGTGTGTGTTTGTTCTGTGTGCTTGCTGTGCTTTGTACACTGTGCTTACTGTGCTTTGTACACTGTGCTTGCTGTGCTTTGTACACTGGTGCTTGCCGGGCTGCGTACACTGTGCTTGCCGGGCTGCGTACACTGGTGCTTGCTGTGCTTTGTACACTGTGTGCACTGTGCTCTGTACACTTTTCTCGCTGTACACCCACCCTGTCGTTCCAGCCCAGTTCATGAGCTATTCCCTCGTGTCGGTTCACATTTCCAACTTCTCCTTTCCTTCCGTCCAACCCCGCCCATCATTCACCCCCGCTTTGCCTCCCTTTCTTTCCATCACTCCACAGGTTACCCGGCCATCCGAATCCATCGCCCAAGCCACCGCACTACCACCACCATGGCAAACGCAACAACACCAAGGGCAAGGGAAAGCGAACAGGCAAAGGACGTCGACAACAGCAGCACCAACAGCACCAACACCGCTCACACATGCCATAGCCCTCGTCTCTGCAAGCAAACTGCTGGAGCCTGTCTTCCCCCCCCCCCCTTCCTCCTCTATTCTCTCCCCTCCTGCTTCTTGTGACGTATAATTGATTGATGGCTTTTGTGGCAATTAGGAAGCGTGTACTCATCATAAGTATACAATACAGCCAAGGCTCGCGTTGCACACACACACACACACACACACACACACACACACACACACACACACACAGGGTGTTCACATAGAACCAAACCAGCACGCCAACAACAAGAAGGCTGGCACTGGCGGTGGTTAATCAAAGTCAATCAATCAACCCATGAAGCACACAAGATGCGCTGCAAAGATGCGCTGCAAGCAAAGGGCCTTCTGGGAAACGCCCAGATGTACAAGAGGGGAACACCAGAAAGAAGAAAAGAAGCGTGTGTTGTGCGCGATCGTGACGATCGTGATCCTGGTGCATCACGCTCGCTGAGCGATGATGACAAAGTTCGAGGGGAAGACACGGGAAGTAGAGTCAGGTGGAAGAAGCCAAGGACAGGACGAAACTGTGCTGATGAAAGCGGGTGTGGAGGCAAAAGGCTTACGCAGCCTGCTTGTCCTGGGCGTGCAGCTGGAGAACGCGGTCGGGGATGCGGCCGGCCTTCAACTCGCTGGTCTCCCAGTTGGTCTCCCTGTGGTTCAGGCTCACCTCCGGGTTGGAGGTCACAAAGCGGGTGAGGGAGAAGATGCCAAAGCTGGCGGCGAAGGAGCACACCACAAGCAGCGGGGTGACCTCGGGGTACTTCTTCACGGTGCCAATGAGACGGCCAATCATCTTGTCGGTCGGTGGGTCGGTGGGTAGGAAGGTAAGAAAGGTGCGTGGAGCGGCTAGAGCTTGCTTGCTTGGTCTGTAGCTGCTTGCTTGCTTGGTCGGTCGGCGTGTAGTTGGCTTGACTGGACTGGCCTGGGCTGATTCGCGTTGCTTCTGAACTTGTTGTTGTTGATCGAGGCGTGATGAGAAAATGAACGAGACGTGCCCGCCGTTGTCAAATCAACCCGACCGACCGCCGGATGGATAGAGTGATGGATGGAGATCACAAGCACAGCAATCCACCGCAACAACTGACTCGGGGGGACCCTCACGCAACACCTACTGCGTGATCCCCCGCCTCCTCTTCTGCAAGATTGCTTGATTCTTTCGTCCGTTCCCCCGCCCCCAATCACACCAGCAATATGCGCGTGTGTGGCAAGGGGGGGGGGGTGCTGTGTGCAAGTGGCGGTGCGGATGTCGTCCGGTACCTCGCAGATTGCCGGGCAAGTCAGGAACGCCGCTGCTGGGCCTTGCGTTGATGTCATCAATCACGGTTCTTGCGTTCGCTGGCTCAGCTGCTTCCACTTTGTTCTGGAGCCGACATGTTTGGCGGCGGGTTGCATCTTGGCGACGGCGTCTTGCGTCTTGGATTTGGGGGGAAAATGGCAATCACGTATTTGCCGCAGTGGCAAAATACCAAGGGCACAGAGTGGCGTTGTGTCCGCTTTCGCTGTCAAACCTGACAGCAAATTTGGTTGCCGCCAATTTTGAAAAGCAGAAATTTCTCCTCACGAGAAGCACACAGCACAGCCAGCTCCAGCCACCCAGCCAGGCCATCCACCACTCACCCGCTCAACGAACCAGCCACAGAACCAAGCAAACATACACACTCCAACTCAACTTGACGTTCCGCAAACCACACAGGCACAGACACACACACACGCGCGCGCACACACACACATACCACTGCCACCGATACGTCGTACTTTGCGGGAACTTCTAACACTCGCCCATTCTTTCCACCTTCCCGCTCCGCGTGGCAGACACACACCCGCACACACAACTTTGTCGACGAGATTGTTGTCCTCTGTCGGCGAGCGTTACCTTCGCCTTCGTTCTTCTTTTCGTTAACCCAGCCTGCGCTAGCTATTCGGACCCCCCCCCCCCGCCGCCAGCTTTTGGTGTGTCGGCCAGCTAGCCCGCCTGCCTGCCACCTCGCCTCTCCATTGCCACCAATACAATTCCCCGGGTCGGCAGCACTTGCCTTTTCTCTTGTGGCGGTTTTCCTTTGTCTGCACCACAACTACTCCTGGATTTCGGCCATTTCGCCCTCCGGCGCCTCTCTACTCCGCCTCAACGCTCGCTCCATCGGACATTTCACTTCTTAAACGTTGCCGCACTCATCCATCGTCGAAGATGAACAGGCATTATCCTCATATGCACCCTGCGACGATGGACGTGGTTGCTGGTGGTCCCGCTGCAACCATGCGGCCGGCCGCCTCTGCATCAAATTCCCTCGACGATAGCCTAACAGATATTGGCTGGGTCTCAGAGACACACGCCGGTACACATGACTGCTTGTCTACGCCCATGAAGCGGAAACCTCGAACAGCGCAGCTCTCAGATCTTGCCACATCCGAACACGTTATTGACATCATCCGCGCCGCAGACTTGGTGCGTGTGCGTGCGTGCGTGCGTGCGTGCGTGCGTGCGTGCGTGTGTGTGTGCGTGTGTGCGTGCGTGTGTGCGTGCGTGCGTGCGTGCGTGCGTGTGTGCGTGTGCGCGTGTGTGCGCGCGTGTGCGCGTGTGCGTGCGTGTGTATGTCTGTCTGTATGTCTGTATGTCTGTCTGTCTATCTGTGTGTGTGTGTGTGTGTGCCTCCGACCAGCACTATAGACCCTTCCAAAGCAAGAATGCTTATTCATAGCACAGACGTGCGCTCACTGATTCCATGTTGATGCGTGTACCTTCTTCTCTCCCTTCATCCTCTTCTCACCTCTCTATCTGCCCCCCCCCCTCATCTCCCCAACAAACAAACCTCACGCCACCAACTTGCTTGTGCGAGAACAGAGCGAGTATGATGACAAGAAGCCGCCGTTCAGTTACGCAACCCTCATTGTGGCGGTGATTGCCGTGAGCAGAAAGGGACAGCTCACCCTCAACGAAATTTACAAGGGCCTCTGCAGCATGTTCCCGTACTTTGCAACAACACAATCTGGATGGAAGGTGAGATGCACGCGCCAGCGCTGTGCGCGTACGTGGTTTTCTTTGTGTGTTTTTGTGTGTGCGTGTGTGTGTGTGTGTGTGTGGTTTTGTGTGTGTGTGTGTGTGTGCGTGTGTGTGTGTGTGCGTGTGTGCCTCCGTATGTACAGTAGCGTCTGCCCGAGCGTGTCCGTGTGCGTTATGGTTCAATGCACACACACATACACTCGCACGTGTTTACACACATTCACACGTACACATTCACACGCACGTTCACACCACCCACGCTCACCTTGCACGCACACACGCACGGCCGTGTTCACGCACCGCGTTTGCTGTTCACCCGTGGCAACCCCTTTTTAGAACTCCATCCGGCACAATCTGAGTCTCCACAAGTACTTCAAGCGGGTGCCCAAGAAAGAGGGCGAGCCGGGCAAAGGATCATACTGGACCGTCAACTGCGAGGAATTCGTAGAAGCACAAAACGCCATCCGTCCAACCGCACCCAACATCAAGGTGCAGTGCATGCGTACCTGTGTGTTTTGTGTTTTGTGTATTGTGCTTGTGTTTGTTTGTGTGTGTGTGTGTGTGTGTGTGTGTGTGTGTGTGTGTGTGTGTAATTGCCTGCGTACTTGGCTGCCTGCGCACCTGTTTGCGCGTGTACTTTGCGTGTGTGTGTGCCGTGGAAATGTCTGCACCTTTGTTCAGGCGCTAATTTCCCATCCTTTGACACGTGCACTCACGCACAACATGCATACACACTCACGCGTGCACACACATACGACCACGTACAACACACTCACGCGCTCGCATACACATGCACACACTCACAATGTCAACGGCAGGTGTGTGATGACGATATGCTGGTGCCGCAGCCTGAGTTTGAGCTCTCCTATGCCAACGACTCTGGCTTGCACTCGTCCACATACGGCATGGATGGCTCATATGTGAGCAGCAACGCCACCTTCCACCAACAAGGCCACATCCACCCCGCACACCCCTCCGCAACACCACCAGCTGCCATGTACTTTTCGACGCCTGCTGCGTCTGGCACGAGCATACCCAGGACGCACGACGCGTCATCATCATCAGCAGTACACCGCCAACGACCAGCAAGCGCAACACCGACATGCACACAAAACGCCGGCACATCACAACTCCAGCAGTGCCATCAGCAGCAGCACGAAGCAATACAGCGCTCCCTGTCCTGTGCGAGCGCACCCCCGAGCATGCACGACTCCCCATACTCGCTCGGCCACTTCCAACTACCACAGCAGCAGCACCAACAACAGCAGCAGGCGAAGCACAACAGCGGCAGCGCGCGCGATGACGAAAACAAAGGCAGCAGCACCAGGAGAAGCAGCGGCAGCAAGGGCCACAGCAAAAGTCGCAAGAGCAAGAAGAAGTCCAAACACTCGCGGCACAAGAAGCACGGCACACGCGTGCTCGCTGATCGCACCAACACCATGTCACGGCATGGTAATGACAGTGGCATGGACACAAGGGAGGATGGGCTCGCGTGCAAGGCGCCAAAGGTTAACACCGCTCCAACACACGCACGCAACTGGCAGCAACAGCAACCGCGCATGCACGCGTTTGGTGGGGCTCACCAGCACCCTTCCGCCGCGCTTCCCAGCCCACTGGCACAGCCTGGCACCACAAGTTCGCCTTCCTGTGCTGTTGGCCTCGTATTCTCGTCTCCGCAGGGCAAATCCGCCCGCAAACATGCGCAACAACAGCGCAAGGACAAGTCACGTGGCGGCCGCGGCACCACCAGCGGAACCAACAGCAGCTCACACCTTGCACATGCGCAGCAAGCGGTGGTGAAAACCGAGCCCATGTCCGATGTCAGCGAGCCCATCCAGCAGCAGGGCGGTGAAGGTGAAGCGCAGGAATCGGTGGTGGCAGGCGCAGACATGTCTTCGGCAGTTCCCATGACACCACCACGCCTCATGGGCGTGGACGTTGGGTTCTTCACGTCGCCCGTCGCTGCCACGCACGGCGCGTTTATGCTCTCCTCCCCTCAGGCACGGGGCTACTTCCAGCACTCGTACGCTCACGCCTCGGGCCAAACCACATACCCTCAGCAACCGCAGCAACACCAACAACAGCAGCAACAGCAGCAACAACAATACCAGCAGTATCAATACCACCAGTACATGTCTCAACAGTACTCGCAGCAGCCGATGCAATCCACATCGGCATACCCGCCGCAGTCGCAGCAGCTGCTTGGCACGCCTGGGCGGGGTGGGCTGTTTATGGTCCCACACTCGCCCATCCGCTTCCTTGGCTCGCCCGCGCGTGGTGGTGTGCCCGATTTCGTTGCTTCCTCCCCTATGAGGGGATACCAGCTCTTCTGAGCGTGCACATGTGTGCGCTCTCTGTGTGTGCTGTGTGTGCTGTGTGTGCTGTGTGTGCTGTGTGTGCGTTGTGTAGTATCGTGTAGATACGTTGAAGCGCACCAACAGGAGAGTCGATGGGTGTGCCGAGGAGGTGATACCAGCTTTCAATGCGATTCCCACTCCTGTGTTTTCTTTCCTTCTTTCCTTCACCGCTTGTTTCTTTGACATTCATCTCGCCTCATGTCTGGCATGCCATTGCATGTGTCGCACGTGCTGCATTCATTCATTCACCCATTGCTTCGCGTTACAACCATTTGCGCGTGCGGCGATGTATGGCTGTCCTTTTCGTGTTTTCTAACCGTGCTGTTTTCTTCTGCTTCACTGTTGTTCTCGCGACCCTGTCTCTATCACGAAGAGAGTATGTGATTTAGCGTGTGTGCGTCAGTGTGTGTGCGTGCGTGCGTGTGCGCATTTGTGTAGGTGCATGTGTGTGTGTGCGTATATGTGCATGTGCATGCACGCGCGTCTTGTGCGAGCTGCGTGCCCTTGTTTTTTTTTTTTTGTTTGTTTGTACGACTACTGGACCAGAAAGAGCATGGCTCAAACCAATGTTGATGTTGCATATTTTCGTTGTTGTGCTTGCGTCTTGCGTTTTATCACAGCGTTTTAAACCGTATGCCACACACCACATGCTTACGTGCACGATGGGGATGATGGGAAGCGGTGGGACATGCTCAGGCGAGGCGTGTGTACGCATGTGCAACGTCGCAACACCTGGTTAAGCCGTGTGATGTGTGACATGAGGCTGGGTCTTTGCTCCCAGCACCACCTGTGTGGCTGCACTTTTTGCTGTCGCAAACGACTTCTTCCCACGTGGTGTGCGCACGATCCAGAAACAAGCAACGCCGCTGACCACAACACACGCACACACGCAGACTACCATGAGCGAGAGCGTTGGCGAGGCTGCGGTCGCCACTGCAGCAACGACAATGACAGCAACGCCTGCTTCCACAGTGGCAGCAGCGGCACACAAGTCGTCGTCTTCGTTGCTGTTTCAGCCGTACCGCGCTGTTGGTTACATTGCATCGCATGTTCCATTTGCGCTGCAGGCGCGAGGCGGCGAGCATTTTGTCACAACCGTGGTTGGCCACGCCTACCACGTGTACAACGTGAGTGGGATGCATGGCTTGCTTCGCGTGTGCGCGTGTGTGTGTGTGTGTGCGTGTGTGCGTGCGTGTGTGTGTGCATGTGTGTGTGTGCGTGTTTGTGTGCGTGTGTGCGTGTGCGTGTGCGTGCGCGCGTGTTATGCGTGTGTGTACACAGTGTGTTCATGTGTGGTGTGTGCTAGATTCGTGTCACCACATTGTGCTTTGTGCCTCACTCTCCGATCTAATGCGATGTTGCCCCTTGTCTGGCGTGCTCATGCTCTCAACACACAGTGCAAGCGGCTGAACCTCGTGTTTGTTGGGCACATTGGCAGCGACGTCAGTGCCGTCGCTTGCGCTGGCAGGCTCACATTCGCTGCGACAGGCAACATCATCATTGCCAAGAAGCGCGATGTCAACGTATGTCAACCCTCGCAAGTCAAGCCTCCTTCTCCTACTCCACTACCACCACCGCCACCACCGCCACCGCCACCTCCTCCTCCTCATGCACAACTGCAGCATACTCTTGCCAAACACACACACACACACACAACCTCTTGGTCATTCCTCTTTGCTGCTCACGGTGAATGCCCGATCTCGCTGCAGGTGCGAACATACCGGGAGCACGCGGCTCCCGTGCACATCTTGCTGCCCTTTGGCACACACCTCATCTCCGTTGACACTGCCAACGTCATCAACGTCTTTGACGTCGCTTCCGAAGGTACACAGACAACACAATCGCAGCACAGCAGCTCGAACACAAATGCGCTTGCGACCGTTGAGTGCCAACGAATGCTGTACTTGCCTCAACTTTGTGCTTCGCCCTCTCACACAACCTCCGGGGGACTGCGTGTGTGTTTGTGTGTCGTGTGTGTGTGTGAATGAACAGAACTGTTCTGTACGATCGATGAGCTGCCTGCGGCAACCTTCAAGGTGTCGTGCGTGTTCCACCCAAGCACGTACCTCAACAAGATCTTGCTCGGTTCCAAACAAGGCGCCCTCCAGCTCTGGAACATCCGCACCAGGTTTGCCCATGTGTGTGTGTGTGTGTGTGCGTGTGCGCGCATGTGCGAAGGATTATGGTTTGAGAGCACCGCAACCTACTGGCTCGTGCAAGAACACGCATCTCATGCACGTCTGCTGTGCGGGTATTGGTGCAGGACGCTGGTGCACACGTTCAAGGGCTGGGGCAGCGGCGTGTCGTGCGTGGCGCAGTCGCCTGTCGTCGACGTCGTCGGTATTGGCCTCGAGGTGCGGCACCGCAGCGAGACACGCACATGATATCCGGGGCGACGCTGTGATTGGCTGGTGGTGTATTCATGGTCACGGTGGTTGTCGTGGCGTCGGATGACAAGTGCTCCCATGAGATGATTTGCATGCATTTGTTGCTTGGTTTTGCCCCTCTCCCTCCTCCTCCTCACACGCACACACACACACACACACACTCACTCACTCACACACACACTCACACACACACACTCACTCACACACTCACACACACACACACACACACACGTGTCATCGTGTTGTCTGTCCGCTTCCAGTCTGGCGCGATTCATGTGCACAACCTCCGCTATGACGAGAGTGTTGTTTCGTTTACACAGGACGGCGGCCCAATCACAGCCGTTTCCTTCCGCACAGGTAACCGCCATTATGTGCACGTCTTGCACACATGTAGAAAGGGAGAGGGGTGTGCGGGTCTGTGAAAATGCACGTGTATCCGTATGTGTACCTGTATGTGTACCTCTGTGTTTGTGTGTGTGTGTGTGTGCACTTGTGCGTGTACGTTGTGAAAAACTCTCTGCATGTGTGTATGCGTACGTGCCATGAACCTGGTGCTCTTGTCCCTGTTCACCATGCGTGCCACCGCTGCTGCGCCTCCAACTGCTACCATGCACATCAATTGCTCATCGCTTCATCTGTGCGCGCTTGAAGACGGGGAGCCGATCATGGCCTCTGCCAACACCAGCGGCAGCGTCGCCATCTGGGACCTCGAGTCGCGACGCCTCGTCACCGTGCGTCAGGCTGTTGTTGTTTAAGTTGTTGTTGTTGTTGTTGTTGTTGTTGTTGTTGTTGTTGTTGTTTAAGTTGTTGTTGTTGTTGTTGTTGTTGTTGTTGTTGTTTAAGTTGTTGTTGTTTAAGGTTGTTGTTGTTGTTGTTGTTGTTGTTGTTGTTGTTGTTGTTGTTGTTGTTGTTGTTGTTGTTGCTGCTGCTGCTGCTGCTGCTGCTGCGTTTGCTCATCACACACACACACACACCTCTCTCTTTCTCTTTCTCTCTGTGCATCTGGCTCTGTCTATCGCTGTGGTCGTGTGCATGTGTCGCACCACGCTGCGTCTGGGCTCGCCATGCCATAATGTCCTGTCGTGCTCGTCTTCACTCGCTCACAAACGTGTCCTTGTTTGCGTGTGTTCGCTGCTAATTCCCTGCACAGGTGCTGCTGGCGCACACGAAAGCCGTTGCGTCGATGCAGTTCCTGCAGTCGCAGCCGCTGCTCCTCACATCCAGCGCGGACAACAGCCTCAAGGTGTCGTGCGCTACACCACACACACACATACACACACACACATACACATACACACACACATACACACACATACACACGCACACGCACATACACACACACACACATACACACGCACACACACATACACACACATGCACACACATATACATACATATACACACGCCCCGCGCGCGCGCGAACGTGAACCTGTGTAAAGCACGTTGCAAGCCACCTTGTCTGATACAACCACGCCACTTTATGAATCATCCGATTCACCCTCACTTCACCTCGCCACCATGATGATGACGATCAGCTGTGGGTGTTTGATGCTGCCGACGGAGGTGCCCGCATCCTGCGCAGCCGCGAGGGCCACAGCGCACCCCCAACCAAGATCAGGTGCAGCAAGCACACACACACACACACACACACACACACACACACACACACACTCACTCACTCACATGTACTCACGCTCGCACACATGCACTAACATGCGTGCTCCGCCAACCGATTACACTCACTCGACACTGTCACCACCGCTGCTTCATACACCGCTGCTGCTCACGACTGCCACGTGTGTATCGTGCGTGCGTATGTGTGTGTGTGTGTGTGTGTGTGTGTGTGTGTGTGTGTGCATGTGTGTGCGTGCGTTGTGTACAGGTACCACGGGTCGAGCGGACACGACATGCTAAGTGCTGCGCGGGACAGGACGCTGCGCTACACATGTGTTATTCAGGACGAGCGCTCCTGCGAGCTGTCACAAGGTCGCATCAAACTCGGCGTGCCGGTTGTCTGCGTGCGTGTGTTTGTACGTGCGTGTGTGTTTGTATGGGTGCGCGCGAGTGTGTGTGCATACCAGCGTAACGCTGTTGTTTGTTTGCTTGCTCCCGCGCAGCGAAGAAATGACCGCGTGCTTGAGACCCACACTCACGACCATGCGTGCTGCTGCACGTGTGCACGCTTCTTGCACCAAAATCCACACAGGATCGCTTCAGTCGAAGGCGAACAAGCAGCAGCGCTCGGTTGGATCACTTCGACTCCCGCCCATTGTCGATTTCGACAGCGGTGCGAACACATACGCGTTTGATTGTGATCGTTTGGAGGCGGAGTGGTGGTGGTGGTGGCAGTTGAATTGCCGTTGTGGCTGTGCTTGTGCTTGTGGTTGGCGTGTGTGTTGTGCTTGCTTCACATGCATGTGTGCACTCGTCGGCGCCTCCATCGCGCGTGCGCACACATACACACGCCCCTCTTGACTGACGTGCATTTCTCACTCTGGTGCTGTTCTCCATCCATGCGTGCAGAGAGCACGCGCGAGGGCGACTGGGACACCATTGCCACGTGCCACAAGAACAAGCTGTGGGTTCGCACGTGGTCGTTTGAGAACAAGGTCAGAAAACATTCTCATACACATGCATATTACACGCACACCCAATTACCCAATCGCTTTTCGCGCAACACAACAACAACAACAACAACAACAACAACAACAACAACAACAACAACAACAACAACAACGCGGCTGCCACTGGCTGTGGTGGAGATTGCGGGGTGATGACACCAAGGCGAGAATGACCATCATTGGCGGTGGTCTGTGGTTGCGGCTGGCGATCAGCTGCAGTGTATGTGTGCGTGCGTATAGATGGCAGCCAGTGCACCTTCCTTCCGTTGCTCTCTCTATCTCTCTTGTCGCTTCTCCTGTCAGGGCTTTTGGTTTTCTCGCCCGTTCAGTCGCGCCACGTGTGCATGTGCACATCAGCGCTTCACGTCCGCTGTTGGGCATCACCGCCATCAGCATCTTCATGATGCAACTTCTGTTCTCGTCCCAACACATTTGTCCCCCCCTTTCTTTCTTTCATCTGTCCTCGCTGCGTGCTTTGCTGTGCTTTCTTGCACGGCCTGGCACGAACAGCCTCCCTTCTCTGCCATTCACGCTCGGCTTCCCTGCTTCTTCTCGCCTCTCCCACCGGTGCTGCATTGTGCTGGTTGGTGTGAGAGCCCCACATCCCGTGGTCTTCAACCCCCATTGAGGTGTGCTTCGCATACATTGCGTTGCACCCCGCCTGTCTCGGTCCCGTTCCCTGCTTTCCTTTGCTGTCTCTCCCTCGCTTCTTCGTCGCTTCCTCTGCGTCTGACCCCTCCCTTCTTCCACCGCACGTTGCTGGCACGGCCTTGCACCGCCACCCACCACTGTTGGGCACACGCTCGCCCTTTGCTTCCGTTTATAGGGGATGTGTGTGGTGGTTGCTGCGTTCTTGCGAGCATGTGCATCACCTGCTCTGAGCCGCCGTGCACACACATGTGTGTGTTGCACTGCTGGTGTTGTGTTTGCGTTTGTTGCAGTCGAGTCTCCATCTCTTCATGTCACTTGATTGCGTTCTCTGCGGGCGATTCCTGTCTGACCACTCGCGCGTTGTAAAGGCAGTCAAACACATTGGCACGCTGCTGTTGTTGTCTGTGCCAGCGCCCTGTTCATGGCCTTCCCCAGCGTGCATCTCAGTGCACACAAACACCTCCCACCCGCCATCGCTACCCTCTGCTGGTGGTGTCGGTCGTGGTGGTTTGGTGTTTGCCCGTGCTGGGGTACTGGCAAAGGCCAGGGCGTCACATTTCCACAGTCTGTGCCCTCTTTCCAACACCTTTGTCGGTTTCCATTTGTCCTTCGTTGTTTTGTGCACGCCCATGTGCACGGCGCTCGCGTTGGTGTCATGCTCGCATGTGTTATGGGCGCCCAGCTATTGCCCATCCTTGGGTTGTGGGGTGGGGGGCGAGCATGTGTTTGGCTGGTGCGCTGTCACGCATCGTTGCTGTGCGTTTCAAGCTTTGGTCGTGCTTCGTGTCTGGCGGGAGTGGGAATGGGGAGCAGGGGATGTGGGTGTTTGGAGGATCGGGTGGGTGATGGTGTGCAGTGGTTGTGAGGGCGAGAGAGGTGAGGGTTGCAGCTCGAGGATGGTGTGGGTTGGAAGGGCTGGGAAGTTTGGGGTGGTGGTGGGTATTTAGGTTGAGTTGGACAGTTGGTTGAAAGGGCGCGGGGTGTTGTTGTGGATTGGGACAGTTGTGGTGGTGGTGGTGTTCCCGCTGTGGGTTGGAGGTGCGTGATTGGTGTGTGCGTGCACACGTGTGTTTGCACGGCCACAATATTCTCTGTTGTTTCGGAGAAGTGGTGGGCTTGGCCCTGCAGTTGAGGCTGGGGGTAGGGAGGGCTTGGTGGGTGCGTCCATTGGGTTTTGCCGTCCGCGCCATCCTGCCAGCCGCCAGCCGCCGTTCATGCCATCATGACCACCGCCACTGTTCCATGATTACCCATCTCTTGTAATCTGACCGCTCTCCACCACGGCCGCAGCCCCATTCTGCACACACACACACACACACACACACACACACACACACCACCACCACCACCACCACCACCACCAGCAGCAGCAGCAGCAGCAGATGTTATAGTTGTTGCGCATGCCAGCAAACTTGTTCGTGTCTGCGTTCGTGTGTGTTTGTTTTCTTTATCCTCGCCATTGCTCCCGTCACATCACCGTGTGTGTGCTCTGGTTTGATCCCTTGGCCGTTTTGTCTTGTTCAGGTGATTGGCAAGCACGAGCTCAAGGGCCAGGGTCTGAGCAAACTCACGCCGTGGTACGTCTGCGTTGCTTTGCTTTACTTTGCTTGGGCCTATTGCTTCTGTGTGTGTGTGTGTGTGTGTGTGTGTGCTTCTGTGTGTGTGTGTGTGCGCGCGCAAATCTGAGAGCTGTTTGTGCTGCGATCATGTGCTACACTGCATTGTCAATCCCACACCTCACTGAACGCCTGCGCAACGCCCCCGCCCCCAAACAACCACACACACACGCACGCACGCACGCACGCACGCACCCACATCATGTTCTTTCTGCAGCGCGTGTGCACGAGCCCCTGCGGCAATTTTGTCCTGGTTGGCCTTTCAAGTGGACAATTGTTCCGGTACAACATGCAGTCTGGTGCCCTTGGCGCGGAATATGGCGCGCCAGGTGAGAGAAGCGCAGAAAGAGAGAGTGGAGCTCATGGTGGGATGGAGGAGAAAGAGACAGAGGTGGTTTGCGTGTTGTTGTCATTGTGTTGATTCAGTTGTTTAAGTTGTTGTTGTTTAAGTTGTTGTTGTTTAAGTTGTTGTTGTTGTTGTTGTTGTTGTTGTTGTTGTTGTTGTTGTTGTTGTTGTTGTTTTTGAAGTTGTTGTTGTTGAAGTTGTTGCTGTTGTTGAAGTTGTTGTTGTTGTTGTTGTTGTTGTTGTTGTTGTTGTTGTTGTTTTGAAGTTGTTGTTGTTGAAGTTGTTGCTGTTGTTGAAGTTGTTGCTGTTGTTGAAGTTGTTGTTGTTGTTGTTGTTGTTGTTGTTGTTGTTGTTGTTGTTGTTGTTGTTGTTGTTGTTGTTGTGTCCGTGTACATGTGTGTGCGTGTGCGTGTGCTTGTTGTGCCAATCTTCGCCAGGCATCATCCTAGCCACCAACTCCCTCTCACCACATCGCAACAATCAACACAATCTCATCGCTACTGTCGTTGCCGCATGGTGTGTGTGTGTGTGTTTGAAACAGCGCATGCGGACACGATTGTTGGCATTCACGTCGACAGTGTCAATTCGTTTGTTGCATCGGCATCCAAAGACACGACCCTCAAGGTATAGCTGTTGGTGCTCCCTGATTGTGCTCAGGAGCATTCAAGTTGAGTGTAGAATACAGCACGGGCATTGGCACTGCTGCCACACGCACACGTTCATGCACAAACTCACTGCACACACACACGCACACGCATGTACATGCACGTGACAGGTGTGGTCCTTCGGCGGTGTCCAGCGGCTGAACGTGAAGATGAAGGTGCCCCTCACGACGACGTCCATGTGCCGCATCAACAACCTCATCGCCGCTGCAGGCGTCGACTTTGGCATTCGCGTGTTTGATGTGGACGCGAAGCGAGCAGTGCGCGGGTTTGGTGGACATCAGGGCCGCATCACAGACATGGCGTGGACACCAGACGGCCGCTGGCTCATCTCAGCCTCCATGGACCTCACCGTTCGCGTTTGGGGTGAGCTGCGCAGCGCTCATGTGCTGAGTTCTCTGTGTGTGTGTGTGTGTGTGTCTGTGTCTGTGTCTGTGTCTGTCTGTCTGTCTGTCTGTCTGTCTCTCTCTCTCTCTCTCTCTCTCTCTCTCTCTCTCTCTCCCTGTCTGTGTCTGTTTCTGTGTCTGTGTCTGTGTGCACGTACGTAAGGGTTTGCTTTGCAGGTCAGCGTGTGTTGTTTGTTGCTTGTGATGTTTGAGTTGCCCGCATTTGTGCTCGTGCCCCATTCTGCTGCGTCTGCGTCATTTGAATTTCGCTTCCAAACTCCCACGCCAACTCATCATGACCGCCATCGCCACCACCACGTCTCGTGTTTCAGATGTGCCGAGCGGGCGGATGCTGTCGTGGTTCTCGACAGAGAAGGCCGTCACCAGCATGACCATGTCACCGAACGGAGATTTCCTCGGTGAGTCTCTCATGAAGAGGCGGTGGTGGATGGAGTGGCTTCGGTGGTGATGAGTTGCTGGATGTTGTTGCTGTCATGCTGAGTTGCTTTTCTTCCACTTCTCCCTCTCCCAACCTATCCACTCACCATTCAAATAACCAAACACACACGCGCGCACACTGTCAGCCACGACGCACATTGACCAACTCGGCATTTTCCTGTGGGCAAACCGCTCCATGTTTGGTGACGTCGCATACAAGATCCTCGACTCAAAAGGTTTAAAACACGCACATACACATATACACGTACACACAAACACAAACACACACAAACATATACACATAGACCTGCTAGCCACCTTGTACCGTTAAAACCCTGATTGTCCCCTCACCCCTCATCATGCGTGCTGGTGCTGCCTCCCAACTGTGCAGAGATTGCTGAGGGCGCGGCGCCGTTTGTGTCGCTGCCGGTCTCTGGCCGTCTCACCGACGAGGAGAAGAAGCAGGCGGTCGACTACCTCAAGTGAGGGCACGCAGAGAGAAAGAGGGGGAGAGAGAGTGCGTGTGTGTGCGTGTGTGTGATCGTGTGCACACGTGTGTGTGATCGTGTGCACACGTGTGTGTGATCGTGTGCATGTGTGTGTGATCGTGTGTGTGTGTGTGTGTGCATGTGTGTGTGTGTGTGTGTGTGTGTGTGTGTGCTGAAGTGGTTGTATTTGCTTGGCCCGAACTGAGCGAGCAATGCCACCACCTTCCATTCACACATCTTGTCTCACAATCGCCACCATACACCATGATGCAACACCTCCTCAACTTGAATAGGGCGTTTGAGGTGTCGGAGGACGATGCTGTGCTTGATGAGAGCGAGAGCACGTTCAAGTCGCCCGACCAAATCTCCAAGGACCTTGTGACCCTGTCCTCGCTCGCTGCGTCGCGTTGGCAGAACCTGAGCAAGCTTGAGCACATTCGCCAGCGCAACAAGCCCAAGGAGGGCCCAAAGGCGCCGCCGCGCGCTCCCTTCTTCCTCCAGACCAAACCCGGTGCGTGCTCCGTGTGTGTGTGTGTGTGTGTGTGTGTGTGTGTGTGTGTGTGTGTGTGTGTGTGTGTGCGTGTGGCATTGTGATTGTGTGATTGTGATTGTGTGATTGTGATTGTGTGATTGTGATTGTGTGATTGTGATTGTGTGATTGTGATTTGCGATACATTTGTAGTACCGTGCTATGTTGTTCTCACTTGCAACACATGTGTGTGTATGTGTGTGTGTGGCGTGGCGACAGGTCTGAAGCACGAGTTCAAGCCCATGTTTGATCCACTGGCGGAGACGGGCGCCAAGTCGAAGGTGCTCAACTTCTCCGAGTTTGGCGTGCTCTCCGCATTCCAGCGCACCCTCCTCCAGTGCAACGAAGAAGATAACTGTACGTTATCTCCTCGTGTGTCTCATGTGTGTACGTGTGTGTATGTGTGTGTGTGTGTGCGGGTGCATGAGTATGGTTTGAGTGAGTGTGGTGTGCGCACGCATGTGTGTATGGTGCGTTGTGTTGTGTGAAACGCTTGTGAGGTGACAGCCCGCTTGCTCTTTGTTGGAAGCGCTGTCCCGCGTACTTTTATTCAACGCGAATCCACGAACCCCACTCATCCTCATTCGTCCTCGCCCAAACCAACTCCACGCTGCAGTCGATGCGCTGATTGAATTGATCTCGACAATGGGCATCACTGCGATTGAGACGGAGATTCGCTCGCTCTCTGCGGACAACGTTGGCGGCGACAGTGACGATCCTGTGCAATTTCTTGCCATGCTCAACTTCTTCCGCTTCCTCCTCACCGCCCGCAAGAACTTTGAACTCTGCCAGGCCTACCTCCATCTCTTCCTCACCGTAAGCACCTTTTTGTGTGCATGTGTGTGTGTGTGTGTCTGCGTCTGTGTGTCTGCGTCTGTGTCTGCGTTTGTGTGTCTGCACGCCTGCGTGTGCATGCCATGCTCATCAAGGCGTGAAATGACGATTGTCCTCCTTGCTGCTGTTGCACACTGCCCAACGAGCCACCATCACCTCAATGCCAACCTGAGCCTGCCTTTCTTCTTCTTCTCACCAACGACGAAAATTCCCTCTGCCAGGTGCACACTGCTGACATTGCTCGCTTCCCGCAACTTGAGCCCGTCGTCGCCGAAGTCCAGCGCCTCCACGTGCGTTTTATTTTGTTTGCTTGTTTTGCTTGGTGTGTTTGCCTGCTTCCTTCACGTCATAATCCCCATCACCAAGTGTGCTCACTCACACACACACACACGCACACACACACACACACCCAACCCTTTTGACGATTTTGTTTCGTTTTGCAGAGGAGCACATGGACTGAGTTGGACGGCATGTTCCAGCACGCACTCTGCATGATCACATACTTCAAGAACCCAAGACTCTGAACCACTCGTCTCGTGTTTGTCTGTGCCTGTCTGCATGTGTGTGTGTGTGTGTGTGTGTGTGTGTGTGTGTGTGTGTTGGTCCTTCTCCCCCCCCCCTTCGTCGACAGTGTTGCTTGCCCATCTGTGTGGATAAGTTTTGCAGCAGTAAACATACATGTGCAGCACAGAAGAGCGTGTACTTTCAGTGATTGCGAGGGCATCCCAATCACACACACACACACATCCAAAACAGCCCCAAAGAAGTTCCTTGTGGGGACCACGCGTGCATTCACTCGCACCAGCAAAGAGCCATGATAACATAATAATGTGGTGCGACACCGCAATACACACATGCACGTGACCGAGAAAATGTAACGGAAAAAAAAATCAATCAAATCAGACCAACCCATCACACAGATACATACACAAAACATGCACAGAGCAAACACACAACATGCACATACAATTGCAGTTTATTCGTCTTCATCAGCATGTGCTATTCGGCACCTTCTGTGGTGTCCTGTGCCACGGCCTCTTGCACCCTGTCTTCATCACAATTACGTCCATTCTCGGCAGCGCCAACAGGTGCTGATTCGCTGTCATTCGCTCGCTCCGCCTTTTCGTCATCACCATCACCATCAATGTCACCGGCACCTTGATCCTCTTCTGCACCAGTATCACCATTCACATCCTCTTGCGCTGCACCACCATCACCATCGTCACAATCATCACGATGTCCTTCCTCCTCCCCCTCCTTCTCCACATCCCCCTCCTCCCCTTCTTCCTCCTTCACGTCCTCCAGCTCTTGGTCGAGCTGTGCCTGTGCTGGATCGAGATCAGTGCCCTCCCATCCCATGGAGATGCGTCCAAACTGCAAGCCTGTTCCCTCGCTCCCATCCTCCTTTGCCATCAGCAGCTGTGACATCTCTGATGGTGCCGAATGAGCATCATCGTCATCGTCATCGTGGTGCTGCACACTTTCCTCCTCTTCCTGCTCCTCCTCTTCCTCCTCTTCTTCCTCTTCTTCCTTCTCTTCTTGTTCTTCCTCTTCTTCCACATGCTCCTCCTCCTCCTTCAATGGGGCTCCCTCCTCATGTTCCCGCACAACACCATTCATGTGCGTGCCCTGAATTGCTGTTGTGTTGCACAGGCACACACGAACATGAGGAGGTGATTAGAGGATGAGATGAGCAGCAGGGAAACTGACACATGCGTGTGCGGGGTGCGTGGCGTGGTGCCCAAGAACACACAACTCAAGCAAGCATGTACTCCCAACATCATTTGCATACGTACACAGTCGTCCTCGGAGCTGTGCGCGCTCAAGGTGGCGGCGGCGGAGTTGGGGCACGGTGCCGCTGTTGGCGCACGCATGATCGGATATGGACATGAATGAGTTGGGGATAGCGATGGTTTGGGAAAAGGCAAAACGTGAAACAGACCCGAGGGGCACATAGAGAGAAAGGCAAATGAGTGAACGTGCAGTTGTACATTCAAACCCAAGTGCTCCTAACCTGATGCCTTTGCCAAAATAGAGTTCAGGCGCCGGGGCGACCGCCAGCCGCTGAAGATGCAGCAGCTCTTCCTCAGACATTTGTTGCCTGCAAGCAACGACATGGCGCAGCAGCATGATCGCGCGCAAGCACATGAGTGATGACGTGTCGACGTGTATAGGGGAAACACACACACACACGCGCGCGCACACACACACACACAAGCATAAACAAACACGCAGAACAACAACAACAACAACAACAACAACAACAACAACAACAACAACAACAACAACAACAACAACAACAACAACAACAACAACAACAACAACAACAACAACAACAACAACAACAACACAAACACAAAGCACGCATTCTTACACCACACAGCACCAACCTGTTGGCGAGACTGGCGCGGTATCCAACCATCATGTACCGCTGTGGAAGGCGGTGCTTTGCGTGCGTCACAGAGTCACGTGTCTGCCGTGTGCGCTGCAACTCTTGCTGTCGCTCATGGAAACGGTCACGAAGTGAGTCCGAGTCCTCCTGCGTATTGATGACGCGTGGGATCACAATGGTGGCGGTGACATGACAGAGATGACAGTGAGGGGATGCTGAAGATAAATTGGGAGGGGGGGAGGGCAAACTTGGCAATGGAGTAGGACATCAAGTGGTGCATGCATGCACGCCGGGGCACCCATTCAAGACCACGTGTAAACACACGCACATACGCGCAAAAACCAAACAGTGCACAAATACACGCAGAGCACATGACCGAACAGCGCGCATGCGAATACAAGCAGGGTGCTTGTGTCCCACCTCCACAGATGCGGTTTTGAGCAGACGTTCCGTTCGAAGCGTCGGAAGTTTCACAGCACGGCCTCTGGTACGGGGCCTGTGTGCGCGTGCGCGCGCGTGTGTGCACGTACATGAAGCGCAGCGTGATCAAGACGCAGGGTTACGTGCATGTGAGCTGCCAACACGATTTGCAAGCGAAAACGATGCGCAGGCACAGATGTACACATACAAACATGATGAACAGGTATACAGGTACACAGGTATACACACACATACACATACACACACGCATACACACACGCATACACATACACATACACACACATACACACACAAGCAAACAAGCACACCTAAAGTGCCCGTAGACGCCTGGTGCCTGTTGCGCGTCGTCACCGGTGGCGTGCAGCGGTGCTGGGTGGCCACGGTACAGATGGCCCTTTTGGTGATGATGGTGATACGACGCAGCGCGCCGGGACGTGGCAGAGGATGGGGACGTTGTGGCTGCAGACGAGGGTGATGCTGATGACGACGAGTGGCGGCGGCGGCGAGGTCGTGGTGCCGATGACCGCCCTGCCGCTGTTAACGGTGTCTGTGCGTGGCGCGCGTCGCCGTTGCCCCCGCTTCCGTGTCGCTTCAGGCTTGCGGATCGAACGGGCAATCCAGAGAACGTGGTGGCGGGACGACTTGCAGCTTCGTGGTGATCTTCCATGGCGGCGGCAATACGGCCCTCATCGCTGCTGCTGCGAGAGAGGCGGCGGTGCCTTGCCCATCGGCGGGGACTCAGGCTGCCTTCACCGCGCTGAGAGTGGGCTGAGCCAACGACACCACCGCTGCTGCCGCTGCCGACGTCGCCTTTGCCGTGGAGGTGACGCATAGCGGCGGACCGGGTGCCGCGACCACGGTGGCTCAGACTTGTTGCACTGCCATTACCGCTGCTGCCGCTGGTGCCAACGCGTTCCCGACTTGCAAGGCGCGGTGCTGTTGTGGTGGAGGCTCCCACGTGCGAGATGTGCTGCAGGGCGAGCCGGCTGATGGATGGCAGGTGCTCTGCGTCGCCGTTTGGGCTGCTGCTGTTGCTGCTGCGCCGCTGCCCATGCGGCTGGGTGTGCGGCTGGGGAGGACTCGACCTGGACGGCATGCGTGGGACGGCTGCAGGTTGCACCTCTTGAATAACCTGGCTTGGCTGCAGCGGCGAATGTGGTGGTGGTGGTGGTGGCGGGCCCGGGCGCTGCTGGTGGTGCTTGGTGTGGTTGAGGAACAAAGAGGATGGTGAGCGTGGCGAGGAAGGAGACATGGGAAGCCGTTGCAGCTGCTGCTGCTGGTGCTGTGGTGAGTGAGTCCCTGGTGTTGTGACTGTGGCTGCTTCAGCTGCCGTGAGAACTGCGTTTTCATTGGTGCCCATGGTGTTGGAATACCGTGATCGTTGGCTGCTGCTTGCAAGTTAGCAACAACAACAACAACAACAACAACAACAACAACAACAACAACAACAACAACAACAACAACAACAACAACAACAACAACAACAACAACAACAACAACAACAACAACAACAACGTTCGTTTGGTTGCTTGTTGGCTTGAGCCGTGGTGTTTACCCGGTGTTGGCGCAGTCAATCAATCAACAATGAAGGCAGGTGGGGAGCCCGGCAACTCGTTCGTTCGTTGTTAAAGTCAAGGCAAGTAACAACAAGGCGAGGAGGATTGGTGCTTGTGTTTGCTTGCTTGCTTCTTTGTTTGTTTGTTTGTTTGCACAGCACGCGTTGGCGTTGGGTGGCTGGATTGGTTGGTTGGTTGGCTTCGTCCGTCCACAAGCAACAAAGCAGCGTTGTGTTTGTTGGGGCGCTTCTTGTTGTTGTTGTTTTGTGGGTGTGAGGGCAAAATTGACTTTGCAAGGTAAATTTTGCCTTTGTATTGCATTGCATCAAGGAGATTGCTTGCGCTGGTTGCACCACCCTCTTCACTTGCGCGCAGTCGTTGAAGTTGAAAGACACACACGAAGACAAGACGGCTGTCTGTTGTTTGCTTCTTGCTGTTGCTGCTTGCTGTTGCTTGCGTCTTGGTTGGCGACACACAGACCAGAGGGAACGCTGGAGACACAGACAGACAGGCATCCTCGCATTGAACAAAGAGGCGACGACGAGCCAGACCCACACCGGCCAGAACAGTACAAGGACAAGGTGAGCAAGCGCGCACAGCAGTCAGCTGCAAAACTATAATACGCAGTCAACAGACACCACCGTCTTGTATTGTGATGTAAACTCATTCGACAACACAACACACGCTTGTGTTGTGGCTCGATGCAACCATGCGTTGTCACACACACACGCACACACACTCACTCACACACACACGCACACACACTCACTCACACTCACTCACACACACACTCACACTCACACTCACTCACACACACACGCACGCACACGCACACGCACACGCACACTCACCCGCACACTCACTCACACTCACACTCACACTCACACTCACACTCACACATGCACACAGTCACAGACGATGGAACAGCCTACCAAGACGGCCAAGGTTGGCTCGAGCGGCCAGCGCCAGGGCTCAAACGACAAGATCCTGTGCGTGCCAAACAAGCTCACGGTGGAGGAGCTGCGCGACGAATTGAGAGCACGCGACCTCAGCACAACGGGGCTCAAGCCCGTGCTGGTCGAGCGCCTCACAAAGGCCCTGCAAGTGGACGGGGCCAGCCCATACCGTTTGGCCCTCACCGCAGACAAGCGCCGGCGGCGGCCCACCAACAAGAAGGAGCCCAAGCGCGATGAGTATGCGTCAGAGCAGGAGTTCCAGCTGGCGTGGACGCGCTGGCGTGAGTCCCGCGACAACAATAACGAGTCTGTCAAGCGCTCGCGGCAGCTCGCAAAGCAAAAGCGCGACGAGCAAGAGCGCATCCACCGCGAGCGCGAGCAGCAGAACGCGCAACTGGAAAAGCTCGTCTCACAGATGAGGAACGAGGTTGTCTTCCTCAACAAGGTGCTCAAGACGCCCGAGCTCTTGGACGCGCAGGAGCTGGCACAACTGGAAGACCTCCTCACGCGCGGCATGCCACCGGTCTGAGCACGGTGCAGGTGTATGGGGCGTCATGTACACGACACGTGCGCGCAGCCGTCGTGCACACATGCATGAGGATGTGCCCACACCATTCTCTTCATCCAGACACGCTCCTTTGCCCCCTCCCCCGGCTCAATTACTTGCTCTGTTTGATCTCTCCTCCCCTCCCCCTTCCCCCTCTTTTTCCGTGACAGCCTGATAGTTGCCAAGGATGCAGCTTGCTGCTATTCTTGTTCGTTAGTGCTTGCTGTGTGCAGTTTCACATCGCGTGGTTGTGTGTCTGTGGTCATAATGAACTCCCTGTTGGCATTTGATTCGTGTGTGTCACGTGTGTGTATGTTTGTTTTGTCGAGGTAACAAGCGTACCTTGGGTTTTGGTGTTGATGGTGCGTCGTGTCAGCACTGCTTCTGTTGGTGATGATGATGATGTTTTGATGCTTTGTACAACGAGTGCCTCGCATGAGCACGTTGTCGCTGTTACCTTATCCCCTACTCGCTCTCAACGCATCCAGCTTGGTCATGTGTGTTTGTGTGTGTGTGTGTGTGTGTGTGTCTGTGCTTGTATGTGCGTGTTTGTGTCTTCTTCGTCTCCCTCTTCTTGTGCATATTACGCTTCGTTCAGAGATTAAAATACCCAAAGACGCTGTACTGTGCTGTCATCACACACGCACGACACGACACTTGTCGATCAAGACACATGCCAACATCAAGCTCACCACTCCAGAAGGTGGTGGCCATATGACACAGACGAACAGCAACAGCAACAACCGCAACACAAGCACCGCCACCATCATCAGCAACACCATCAGCGGCGCCTGCCGCCCTTCTTCTTGCGGGGCTTTCCTTTGCCAACAGCACGGGACGCTGATGCCGTCTTGGGCGGCGGGGCATCCGGCAGCAGCGACGCGTCCAGTTTGCTGCGGGGGATGGGAGATGGGAGGTAGTGACGGTGTTGATGGTGATGAGGGGTAGGGCATAGGTGGTTCATTGACAACGTGAGCAAGGATACGCGCGCGCACAGGTCATGCCAATCCACGTCGACACACACATCGACACACACACGCACACACACGCACGCACGCACACACACACACACACACACACACACACACACACACACACACACACACACACACACACACACACACACACGCACACACACACAACACACACAACACAGCACACAGAGTGCAGGACGTACGCCATCTCTGCCTCTGTCGCAGCGCCCTGGGTGCCGTGCTTAACAGCGCCCCCCTTCTTCTTGTTCTTCTTCTTCCCCTTTCCGCCCTTTCGCTGCCACTTTGGCAGCCAGCGGTTCGGGTCAGGCTCCACGCCCTCCTCCGCATTCTTCGGCAGCTTGCCTGCAAGCAACCAAGGATGGGTGGATTGAGCATGAAATGGTATGCGGGGAGGAGTCAGAGTGAATGGGCACAAAAGTGGGCAAAGACACAACAGACACAGAGCGCCAGCAACTCAAACGCACGCACACACACACACACACACACACACACACACATGTGCAGTAGTTAGCAATTACATGCACTTGCGTACGTACCCTTGCGCTTGCGGCGGCGCTTTGGCTTGGCGGCTGCCGGGGCCGGGGCTGCTGCCGTGTTGGACGCCAGCGCTTCAGCCAACTTGTCCAGCGGGGCTCGACGCGACGTCTTGATGGCGATCACGATGGCGGCGTGGTGGTGGAAGAATGTGAATTCCAAGCACAAGGAAGGGTCTGGCACACACACACACACACACCTACACACACACACACACATATACACAAACACACACCTACCTTGGCGACGCGAAGCTTCCTGGCCTGCTCCAGCTCGTCCACGTTCAACGGCTCGTCCTCGTTCATCTCGAGCGGCGGCATGGACGAGGCAACCTGATGGTGGTGGTGGTGGTGAATTAAGGGGGGGGGGGCAGGTGAGGAGGATGGTGCATGACATAGACGATGATTGAACCCACACACACACGCACGCACACACACACACACACATACACACACACACACACACATACACACACACACACAACGAAACACACACACACACACACACACACAAACACACACACACACACACACACACACACACAGGACATGCACACACACGAAAACACACACACACACACACATACGAAAACACACGAAAAACAGCCAGACGGGGCGGGGTGGTTGTCGTCACCTGCTCGGCCTTCTCAATGTCGACTTGTGCGAGGGCGACGATGAGGGAGGCAACAGCGCGCATATCCTCTGGATCGGCGTCAATCAGGTCCTGGAACGCGTTGACGGCGGCGCTGTACTTGCGCTGTTGCAGTAGCAGCTCGCCGCGCAGACGAAGCAGCGACTGCAACGTCTCCTCGCTCCCTTCAGCCTGCGCGTTGTGTGTGTGTGTGTGTTTGTGTGTATGTGTTGTGTATGTGTGTATGTGTATGTGTGTGTGTGTGATTGGTTGTAGCGAGCAGAGAGGACACGAAACAAAGCAGCCAGCCAACGACACAGCAAACGCAGGACCACCACGACTGCACTGCCACAGGACCACCACCACCACCACCATCACCATCACCACCACCACCACGACGATGGTCACCTGCTGCTTCTTCCAGTGTGCGATTGCGCTGTCGAGTTGTTCTGTTGCGACATCTGGGCGGTGCAGGCGTCGGCACAGCGCAACGGCGTAACCGACCTGCAATCGTGGTCAGCAGTCGTGCGCATGTGGACCACGTGGACCGAGGCAGGGGTGAAGGTGAGGGTGAGGAGAGGTGTGAAAGGATCATGGATACACACATGTTAACGAATGCGTGCATGAGCATGAATGTGTGTGCGTGTGCGTGTGTGCATATCTGTTTCTCTGCGTCTATTTGTGTATGTGTGGTGGACAAGAGTGGCAGTGTCGTGATGCCATGTGCGCGCACATACGTATGCGGGCTTGAAGGCGAGTGTGGACACACGCTGCAGGGCCGAAAGGGCGTGGGGATAATCGCCTGATCAAAGCGGGGATCGTTCGACCAAGCAATACGCAAGTCAGTCAACGCCAGCAACATCCCGATGAAACACACTCATGACCACCACACAGCAACGAGTACGCTCTCATACGGAACAGCAAGCAAGCAGCAACACGTTCTCCACAGTCACAGGACACACACACACACACGTGTGTGTGTGTACCGTGGCGGGCGTATTCGTGAGCAAGGACGAGGGCGAGGATTTCGTCGTTCGGGTGTTCGTCGCACAGCGCCTGCAGCCGCTCCGCTTTGTTCTTCACCTTCCGCTCCTTCAGATACGTGTACGCCTCAATCAGCGATGGCACCGTACTGCGCAAACGTGTTTGTGGGTGTTATTTTTTTGATTTGTGTGTGTGTGTGTGAAGGGAGCTCTGATGAAGCATTTCAAGGCGACTTTCGCAATTGTGCAGGAGCATGCATGACATCGAACACATGTGAGGTGTATCTTAGTGTGTGCGCGGCACCTTGATGGGTACTGCTTGCGGAGGTCAGCGCAGGCATCGCGACACTTGGCAATGGCGTTGCTGTGCAGCAGGAGCAGACACTGGTTGAAGGCAATGATCATCTTTTGCGTGCTCCACAACTGCAGGCACACAAAGCGGTGCGGTAGCAGGGGCGAGGGAGGGTGGACAGCGGTATGTGAGTGGAACGTGAAGTGGGACGTGAAATGGAACGTGAAGTGGAACGGGAAGTGGAACGGGAAGTGGGAGGGGGAGCCATGAATGCACAACAAACCACAAACAAAATCACACACACACACACATCACAATAGCACTGCACCTTCTTATCAAGGCCCTCAGCGCGCGTTGCGCGCATGCGATGTTTGGAGTTGAACACATCCCGGTCCTGCAACGAAACCAGGCATGGCGTGCAAGGGGTGTAGGAGTGGCAGAAGGTGAGGCTGACGAAGGTGGAGCAAGACAGCATTCAACCCCTCCCATACATCCACAGGCTCACATGCGCATGCACATGCACATGTTTACACTCGCACACACACACGCGCGCGCACGCAAACACACACACGCAACCCCCCTCACACACACACACACACACACACACACACACACACACACACACACACGCACACGCCCTCAACGTGCAGGGGCAAACGTTGAGTCTTTTAGTGGGACGTGAAATGGAACGTGAAGTGGAACGGGAAGTGGAACGGGAAGTGGGAGGGGGAGCCATGAATGCACAACAAACCACAAACAAAATCACACACACACACACATCACAATAGCACTGCACCTTCTTATCAAGGCCCTCAGCGCGCGTTGCGCGCATGCGATGTTTGGAGTTGAACACATCCCGGTCCTGCAACGAAACCAGGCATGGCGTGCAAGGGGTGTAGGAGTGGCAGAAGGTGAGGCTGACGAAGGTGGAGCAAGACAGCATTCAACCCCTCCCATACATCCACAGGCTCACATGCGCATGCACATGCACATGTTTACACTCGCACACACACACGCGCGCGCACGCAAACACACACACGCAACCCCCCTCACACACACACACACACACACACACACACACACACACACACACACACGCACACGCCCTCAACACCACAGGCATGTGCTTTTCCCCTCCCCAACTCCTCCGGGCCGAGCAAAGACCTTGTTGACGGCGACGATGTTGTTTGAAGCGACGGCGACGATTGTGGTGCTGTCCTGGTTGAAGCGGATCACGTCGAGATAAATGCGCTTCGCCCTCTCCTCCTCCCCTTGCTGCTGCAGGATCACTCCCTCCTGCACCCTGGGATTTGGTTGGTTGGCGTGTTTGGGGGGGGGGGGTTGGTTGGTTGGTTGGTGTGGATTGGTGTGTGGAATGGCTGTGTGTCAGTTTGTGGAAGGAACACACAATCTATGTGCGTGGTGGCGCAGATGTGTGCGCATGGGCGAATGATAAAGATGCGATCCTCAAGTGTGGACACGTGAAACGAAAAAGGTGCACGTCGTGTCGAAAACAGAGCAAGTGCGCGTACTTGAGAAGGGCGAGCTCCTGGTCAATCTCCTCTTGCGTAATGTCCTGTGTCAGAATGCACACGTGCACGTTGGATGTGATGTGAGCAAGCAACGCACTCAACGCCACAGCCACTAGCCACCCAATCGGCAACAGCAGCACACGTTCACGATGATGTTTGCTTGCAGGCACGCGTCCAACTTACGGGGTCGTCCTCCTTGAGCATGTCGACGCACTGCTGCTGTGCTTGCTTGACGAGCGTTGCCGCTGTTGGGATGCGGTGCTGGGCGGTAGCCACGAGCGAGCGGTTGTACGTGTGCTCAAACGCATCGTCCTCAGCCTGCATCACCTCGCTCGGCGTCTCCTGTACGATTGGAGGGGAGAGACAGACAAGGGAAGGGAAGCGGGGATAGAGGTGGTGAGGTGGTGATCATGTGGTGATGGAGAGACAATGGGGAGTGAGAGGTGTCATACGCTGGTGGTGATGGTAGCAGCAGACACGAAAGGACGTAATTTCACACTGGGCAAGCGCATGTGATTGTGCTGTGCACCTTCTCGGGGTCAGCGAACGTGGCGCCGGCATAGCAGGCGACCAGGTTGGTCCGGCGCTCCATACACTGCGCACACATGTGGTGTGTGAGATAAGCATTAACGCCATACTCAGATAATGTGTGAGTGAGTGTGTGGATATGTGTGTATGTGTATGTGTGCATGTGTGTATGTGTATGTGTGTATGTGTGTGCGTGTGTATATGTACTTGTTTGCATGTGTGCGTGTGTGAATGTACTTGTTTGCATGTGTGTGTTCGTTGTTCGCTGTGCAAAGCGGATTGAATAGGACAGACACACAACGCAAGAGCAGAACCCCAGAGTTAACACATGCGCGCACCGGCTTCTCGTTCAGGAGCTCGTGGTACAGTTCGATGGCTTCGTCAAACCGCTCCAGACGGTACAGCTGTGCACAAGACACAATGAACGGGACAGTGCAGCATGAGTTGTCAATTGAAACAGTCATGGAAGGTGCAGTCCACGGTATCGAGGCGCAAGGCAAAGAGCCAAGCAACGCAAGCTGCAGCTGCAGCACGCACCGCCTGTGCCTTGAGCTCCTTCATGCGGAAGGAATCCTCCTCTGCTCCTTCGATGACGCGAAGGCAGTCGACGTAGTCCTGCTTGCGGAACAGCGCGTATGCGTGCTCATACTCCAGCGCACCACTGCAGGAAGGACGCGCGAGGGCAAGATGGTGCGTGGAAGTGAGCGCGAAGGACACGAAAGAAGCGTTAACTTCCGCGCGCCAGCTCAATGTGGCTTGGGTGATCATGATGCGCAAGGTGGGGCGCGGACACGGCCAACACAACGAGTGCACGTTGGTGCTAGGTTGGTGTAATGGCTGTTGCATGGGCGATGTGGAGCACTTACGCATGCTCGGAGTTGGAGATGGTCTGGATGGCCTCAGCGTATTGGTTCGAGCGCAGCTGGGCAATGACCTTGCACTTGACGGCATCCGCATCATCAGGAAGCGCTTGCAGCACTATTTGATAGTAATGGTTCGTTCATGTGATGTAAGTGCAAACGTTGGGGGAACAAAAACTAGCACTTTGACGTGACAGTTCAATTCCTTCCACCCACATCCACATCCACACACACACACACAGAGGTATTCATCCTCCTCCCGCCACCTTGTTCCCCCCCCCTCCGCTCCTTCTTGGTTGCCTGTGCGTACCCTTGTCTGCAGCGGCGATGATCTTCTTGTTGTTGGACGACTTGACTGCCTTGTCAAGCGCAACAAACAGCTCCTTGCTCATCGCGCTCGCTTCTTGCTTGCTTTTCTTCTTGTTGTCTTCTCTCTCTCTCCAACCAAAACACACAGCCACGTATGAAAATGCACTTTATGGTGTCTCGTACGCCTGGTGTCGTGCGATTTGCGCGAGCGTTCTGTTGTGCTTTCGCAGGGACGCACCTGCCACCACTTCCATTCATGTCACCTCCCTTCACTTCACACCACATCACCCGCCTTTCCCCTTCTCTCACATGAACGCACATGCGCTGCTCACTAGGGGAGGTCGTTGAATATATTTTGGCTTTTTGCATTAGTGCAGCTACAACACAAAACCCACGCAAACCAAGCACCACAGTAAACACATTAAACACACAACAACACGGACAGTGATGACACCAACCACCACACACACACGCCCTCAACGCCACTCAACCACAGGGCTGGTCAAGGTCAAACGTAAGGTTCATGAGAGCATCAGACACGGCAGCGGGTGTCAGGATACCTGGAGAACAGCACACAGGGGCCACGCCGCAGCAGCAGCAACAAGAAGGAGGCGAATGAGCGGGTGGACGCACGCAATGATCACACACACACACAAACGCACACAAAAATGCATAAAGGTACATTCACAAGCACACGCACACGCGCACAAAAATACATAAAGATACATTCACAAGCACACGCACACACACACACTCGCACACACACACACACACACACAAGCACGCATACGCACGCATACGCAGCACACACAACACATGCACCATGCGTACCGATATCTGTAAAGAGGAGGGTGATGTACTCTGGAGGGGTAAAGTCGTATGCTGGGGACTCTGTCTTGAAGGGCACAGCACCTTCCTCCTCCAATAGCGGCGCAGTCCGCTTCGTGCCGACGTCCGCCTGGCTCAGCGGGAACAGCCGAATAAACTTGAACGACTCAGATGCTGCAGCGCGCGGCAACACGTGTTGCGTGCGTGTGTGTGTGTGTGTGTGTGTGTGTGTGTGTGTGTTGGTTGTGTATGTGGGTGTTGTGTGCGTGTTGTGGGTTGAAATAAGGGTGGTTGTGTATGTGGGTGTTGTGTGCGTGTTGTGGGTTGAAATAAGGGTGTGGTGTAACAGAAGTGGATTGGTAAATGAGTTGAATGTGAGTACGGAGATAATTGTGTGCGTGCACGCCAGAGTGTCTCAAGGAAGAAAGCGTGAACGAACAGCAACAGCACGGATGCGTTGGAGCACAGCAAGCGCAAGTGGCTCAGAATCAACCGGTGGGATGACCCACCAGCGTAGAACGGCTTCTTCAGCGCGTGCGCCGCCATGGCCGCCTGATACGTGCCAATCTGTATCAAACACATCGCCAACATAAGTGGTGAGTCTATCACATTACTGTCACAATCCCCAAATGTCCACAGCGTCTTTCCTTACTCCCTCTCACCCTCCCAATCACCATCCCAACCACGGGCAACTGCCACCAGTAGAAGTCACCATCATGACGACGAGTGCTCACCGTGTTGATGATACCGCCGTTCTCGACAACGGCCTCGGCGCCCGTCAGCACCACGTCCACCCGGCTCATCACATACGCAACGGCCGCATCCTGCACGCCCATGGGTGTGTGTGTGTGTGCGTGTGTGTGTGTGTGTGTGCGTGTGTGTGCGTGTGTGTGTGTGCGTGTGTGTGCGTGTGTGTGTGTGCGGCGCGTGTGTGTGTGTGTGTGCGTGCGTGTGTGTGTGTGTGTGTGTGCGTGTGTGCGTGGTACCGATGTGCACACAAGCATCAATGTGTGCGTGTGTGTGTGTGCGTGGTACCGATGTGCACACAAGCATCAATGTGTGTGTGTGTGTGCGTGGTACCGATGTGCACACAAGCATCAATGTGTGTGTGTGTGTGTGTGCGTGGTATCGATGTGCACACAAGCATCAATGTGTGTGTGTGTGTGTGTGCGTGGTATCGATGTGCACACAAGCATCAATGTGTGTGTGTGTGTGTGTGTGTGTGTGTGCGTGATAGCAAACGTGATCCCGCTCAGCAAAAAGCGCGCATGCATTCATGTGGCGTTGTGTGCACGTACGGGGATGAGGGTGACGTCGATGTTGTGTTCGGAGAGGGCGGTAGCCATGGACACGCTGGCACCAGCACGTGTATGGAGGACAGTGATTGAAGCGTTGATGAGACAGCACAGCATGACGCGAGCACGCATGCACGAGCAAGCACACATAGATCCTCCCACCCAGGGATACGTGCACTCACACACAAGAGCACTAACGTGAGTAAACGCACGCATACACACACACACAAACAAACAAACACACACACACACACTCATTCACACACACGCATACACACACACACACATTCTTTCACTCACACAAACAACACGCACCCGAGCTTGCTAGGAATGGACTCGACGGCGTACACCTGGAAGCGCTTCTTCTGGTTTGCCGCCTGGATCAGGATCGACTCAACCACGCGCGACCGTCCAAGCGTCAGCACCGTCTGATCATGATGTTGTGGACGTATGTGTATGTGTATGTGTATGTGTGTGTGTGGGGATTGTTGTTGCTTGGGTGTGAGCTAACATGGCAAGAGAGGCACAGCAACAATGAGAATAGCAGCGGCAGCATGTCAGCCAAACACACACACACACACACACATGTCCACACACATGTACAAATGCACGCACCACGCCATCTCGAATGAATGGGCCAGCCATCTCCATGAGCTTGGAGCGCATCTTGTGGGCGCGCTCGACAAAGAGCTCGCCCTGCTGGATGATCATCTGCTTCCAGTCGTCCGCATCGGCAATCTGCAGCGTCACGTGCCTGCGCAGTCGTGGTCGTGGGCGATGTTGTTGTTGGTGCGCCATAAGGCGGGAAGCAAGCAAGTGCACATACACATACACACGTCACCCACATTCACTCACACATGTACACATGCACACACATATGCACACACACACACATTCACTCACACATGTGCACACACACACACATTCACTCACACATGTACACATACACATCCACAAGTCACCCACATTCACTCACACATGTACACATACACATCCACAAGTCACCCACATTCACTCACACATGTGCACAACCGCTAACTCACTCTTTCGTTCACATTCACTCGCTCACTCACCTAACGAAGAGATCACATGCCGAGGACACGCATGTGATGGTTGTGTCTGCCGTCTCCACGAGGATCTTCTTTGCGTTCTGAAGGTTCTCGCGGAATCCGGCCACAGTTTGCTCTGCAAACACAGCACGCGTGTGCACACCGCATGTGAACACGTGGCATCGGTCACTGTACGCAAGACAAGAACGCAAATGCTCTCGCAAACACACACGCACACAGGTGTGCAACCATACACACGCACAATACACACACACACACACAAGTGTACAACCATGCACACGCGCGCAATGATGAACAATGCATCCGTGTGCGTGTGCTCACCATCGTCCTTGCGGATCATCTCCAGGAGGGCCTGTGTCGCCGCAATAGCGGGCGACTCCTCGGGGTTGAGTTCCCGCTGCTTCTTGAAGCAGGCCACAAGTTCTGCCACACCAACGCGCACCGCCAAGGCGAGCAGCAACATCAAGCACCAAGCGCAGACATGGTGAGTTACACAAAGAAGCAACAGAACAAGAACAGGAGGTTGGTGGCCTTTAACACCGTCCGCGCAGCCACTCGCCTTCCCCCCCCCCCCCTCCCACGCACATAACGCATACGAACACATCACACAAGAAGCACCACTACCCCTCTTTTGCTCTGCCTTTCGTCCAACCAACCCCTTCCTCACCTTCCTTGTCCATCTCTTCTGGCTTGCTTCGTGTTGTTGTCGGTCAGTGTGTAGTCGTGTGCGTGTGTGAGTGGTTCGCAAACAAACAGCTCTGCGTGTGTGTGTGTACGACGAAGAAAAAACGCGCACTGCTGTTGTTGTTGTGGAGTTTGCTTTGCTCCTTCCTGCCTTCCGTTATCAACCCACAGCACCAACCACTCACCCATTCATTCATTCATCCAAGCAGAAGAACAAAGCAACACGCTGCCAGCCTTGCTTTGCCTGCTTTGCTTGCTTTGCTTGCTTTGCTTGTGCACCACGCCGCCGCCTCTGCTGTTCCACGCTGATCGGTTCGGGCGATGAGCAGGGCGCCGCTGTGGCTGGAGGACGACGACGATGATGACGCCGACTTCGTTGTAGCTGGCGACGGCGTGATCGCCGTGAGCCACGCCACGGGTGCCATCGCCGCTGACGACAACGACGACGATGATGCGGAGCCCACGTACGGGTTTGCAGAGGCATTGGCGCAGGCGCAGTACGAGAAGGCCCAGCTCGAGGAAGCGCAGCACCGCATGGCTTCGGAGTACGACGACATCCTCGATGAGAACGAGAACATGGCCCGCAAGATTGTCGAGCTGGAGGTGCGTCGCTGGTGGAACTTGTCATGATGATGATGATGATGATGATGATGATGATGATGATGATGATGATGATGATGATGATGATTGTGTAGGGTTGTTGTGTTGTGCCGTCGCTGTGCTGGGAGGTGGGTGACGCACGCGGGCAAGCATATGCACCCACATGCGCCCATACACGTTGTGCACATGTGCGCGCATACACATACAACGCTCACATACACTCACTCACTCACTGACTCACTCACTCACTCACTCACTCACTCACTGACTCACTCACTCACTCACTCACTCACTCACTCACTCACTCACTCACTCGCTCACTCACTCACACACTCACACACTCACTCACACACACACACACACACTCACTCACTCACTCACACACTCACTCACTCACTCACTCACACACTCACTCACTCACTCACTCGCTCCCTCGCCCGCAGAAACAACTGCGCGACACGAATCGACTGGCAACCACACGGCAAGAGGAGATCAACGAACTGCAGAGCTTGTATCGCGACCTGCAGACGCTCAAGCTGGAGAAGGGCGACGTGGAGCAGCGGCTGCGCCAGTCCGAGGAAGACCGCCGGCAGATGGAGCAGGAGCTCATGAGCAAGGAGAAGGAGGTGCAGATGCAGCACGAGCGCTTGCAGCTACAGCAGCAGCTGCAGGACATTGAAGCGCGCGAAGACGCTGCACAGAGCACATATGAGAGCAAGGCGGCCGCCCTGGTGAACGAAAGCAAGGGCGCCGACGTGGACCCGCAGTTTGTGGAGGCCCTGCAGAACGAGCTGCGCAAGATGCGCGATCTTGTTGACGAGAAAACATCAGAGGTGGAGCGACTGCGACGCGCACACGCAGCCAACGGCAGTGGCAGTGGTGGTGATGGGGATGACGACGACGATGATGAGGGCGGGCTGTCGCTGGCAGATGAGCTCAACACCCTGGCGCTTGAGCAAGACGAGCTGGAACGACAGGCACGCAAGAAGCTGGAGGAGGAAGCGAAGCGCAGGGCGGAGGCAGAGCAGCAGCTGACTGCACTGAAGGAAGCGAAGATTGCACAGGAACGGGAGCTGGCGCGTTTGGGGGAGGAGATGAAGAAGATGCGCGAGGAGGCTGAGAGAACGCGAAGGGAGCGAGAACAGATGGAACAGCGTGTGAAGGAACTGCATACACGGCAACAACAACAGCAGCAGCCACCGTTGCAAAAGCAGCAGCAACAACAGCAATCTCAGTCACAGCCGCAGCAATCAGATGTGCACCACCACCACCATCACCCACCACCGTCAGTGCAGCTGCTGAAGGAAGTGTACCCACACATCCCGGAGGGCGAGATTGCGCGCGTGCTGCAGGTGTGCAGGGGCGATGCAGAACAGGCAGCAGACCGCCTTTCATCGTGGCAACCACCACAACAGCAACAACAGCAGCAACAGCAGCAGCGGCAGCAAAGGCACCCACCGCCATCAGCACAGCGCCAGCACCGACAGCAGCGGGCGCAGACATCACCACAAGCACGAACGCCTGCGAGATCACAACAACAGCAACAACAGCAACAACAACAGCGAAAGGGCAGCACGGAAGAGCGTGCGTCGCCATCGCCATCAACATCGACATCATCATCGTCAACAGCGCGCCCGCGGTCGTCGTTGTCGTCGATAGAGCAGCGAAGACAGACGCTGCTGCGGCAGAAACAGCAACAGAAGACGAGGCAATCTGTGTCATCGCAGGCCGCCGCGCCGAACGGAATCCATCGCCAAACACACCAACCACGATCACGTCCATCATCGTCATCGTCGAGCCAGAAGAGAGGGGGAGTCCCACCACCACCACCACCAACAACAACTTCATCATCATCATCATCACCACCATTGGCAGCACCGGCAGGAGCAAAGCCGCGTCCTGCGCATGTGTCACCATCAAGCGAGGAGAAGAAGAAGATGTCTCCACGCCAACAGCTGCAGCCGTCACATCCCCGCACTGCTGACAATGCCAGTGACCGCTGGTCTCCGTCACCGCCACCCGGCTACCCGTACCCTGATCTTCCTCCGGGTTACACCCCACCAGCAGGGGAGCACGAACGCAAACTTAAACAACAGCATCACCAGCAGCCGCAGCAGCCCCAGCAGCAGCGTGACTTGTTGCGCACCACACACGCGACATTCACGCACATGACAGAGGGACCGGCTCGAAGCGGGTACGGAAATGGTTGTGTGCATGTGTGTGTGTGTTTGTGTGTCTGCCTGTGTGTGTGTGTGTGTGCCCGTGTGTGTGTGTGTGTGTGTGTGTGTGTGTGTGTGTGTGTGTGTGTGTATGTATGTTTGTGTGTCTGCCTGCGCCTCTGTGTGTGTGTGTGTGTGCTTGCTGTATCATACCTACCACTCACCACCGTCACTATTGCCATCACCATCATCAGGTTTGATGACGCGCTTCGCTTCGAGCGCAACCTGTCCGCATCTGCCGGTTTCTCCATCACTCTTCCGTCCCAGGAGCGCTGCTACAAGGTGGCCATCTGTGTGTGTGTGTGTGTCTGTGTCTGTGTCTGTGTCTGTGTGTCTGTGTCTGTGTATCTGTGTCTGTGCGTGTGTGCCTGAGTTTTGTTCGGTTGTGTGTGGGCAACCGTTTGTTCTGTTTGTGCTGCTTCGTTCCACCATCTTGAGTGTTGGCTCACACTATCCTTTCTTTCGCCACATTACGAGCGTCGCTCGAACTTTTCATTTCTGTGCGCGCAGGTCCGCCTGTTGATGAATGACTGTGCGGATGTGTTGGGACTGGACAGGAAGTTTGGTCCACAGTGCGTCCTTAAGCTCTCTCCAAACTACATCACCATCGTCTCCCAGGTGGCTGCATGCACGTGGTTGCGAATGAAGATGTGAAAGTCATACCTTTGTGTGTGTGTGTGTGTGTGTGTGTGTGCCTGTGTGTCTGTGCCTGTCTGTGTGTCTGTGTGCCTGTGTGTCTGTTTGTGTGTGTGTGTGTGTGTGTGTGTGTCTGTTGTGTGTGTGTGTGTGTGTGTGCCTGTGTGTCTGTTTGTGTGTGTGTGCCTGTCTGTCTCTCTATGTCTCTGTCTCTCTGTCTCTCTGTCTCCCTGTCTCTATCTCTATGTCTCTCTATCTCTCTGTCTCTCTGTCTCTCTGTCTCCCTGTCTCTCTATCTCTCTATCTCTCTGTCAGTGTGTTTGCCCTGCCATGATCTTACCTCCCACGCTTCTTTCCCACTGCGAACGTGCGACCACGACGTCACCTCGCTCCACCAACAGCGGCGGTTTGCGACGATTGTAGAGTGGCCGTTGAGTCTGGTGAGCAAGATGGCGGCTACAGAGGGTGCCCTCATGGTGGCAGGATGGCTGCGGCAACTCCGCTGCCCGGGCGCACTCGAGATGAACATCCTTGAGGAAGCGGTGCGTTTGCTTGTTTGTTTGCCTTGTTTGCTTTGTTTGCCTTGTTTGCTTCTCTATCTTTTTGAACGTGGCGTGTTTGCTGCTGCTGCCACTGATTCCCCCCCCCCAACGCACACACACATATACAGGCTGAGAATGTGTTTGTAATTGCGCGGCACAATCTCCACGAGTATCAGGTTTGCTCAATTGATTTGTGCTGCACTGGCCATCTCTCAGTCTCCGCTTCGTTTGCTGCACATCACACTAGTGTCCCCGTGCATGTGCGCATGCATGTGTATTTGCATGTGTGCATGGACATGTGCACTCGCGATTCACACACTCTCACACATACATACACACACGAGCACACACACACATACACACACGAGCACACACACCTCACACATGTTCGCACGTTGAACTTCCGTCAGTCTCGGATGGACGCGGTGCTGGCGCGCGATCTACAGCGCCGGGAGCTTGCCTCATCGTCGCCGTCGTCATCGCTGTCCATGTCATTCATCGCTCAACTTCGCCTTGATGACGAGTTCAACAAACTCCTCGCACGCGGTCGGGATGGATGCGTGCGAATGTGTGTCTCTGAATATATATGTTTGTGTGTGGCTGTGTGTGGCTGTGTGTAGCTGAGTGTGCGCTTGTGCGTGTGTCTGGGTCTGTGTTGTATCATGAACTTGTGCTTAATTCTCTCAGTTAACGAACTCGCTATTCCGTGTGCCACGTCAACTTGATTGCATTCGTGTGCAGAGACGAAGACGGGGTTTGAGCAACTGCAGCAGGCCGATGACGCCACATATCGGCAGATTGTGGAGAAACTCAGCGAAAGTTAGAATTCCTTCAACCGTGTTTGTATGCATGCCTTGTACATGCACATATATACATGTGTGTTTGTGCTTGCATGCTGACGTTGCCGCCTCTGCTATGCTCATGCAGAATCGAAGAAGGAGCTGTGGAAGAAGCGCGGCTCGAGGCTCAAGCGCATGTTTGGCGGGTGCGTCTCGGCTGTTGTGTGTGTGTGTGTGTGTGTGTGTGTGTGTGTGTGTGTGTGTGTGTGTGTGTGTGAGTACACTCTCGCACTCGCTGCTCCCTCTCACTCGCTGTGTGTCCGTGTGTGTCCGTGTGTGCCCGTGTGTGTGTGTGTGTGTGTGTGTGTGTGTGTGTGTGTGTGTGTGTGTGTGTGTGTGTGTGTGTGTGTGTGTGTGCATGCTTGTGCTTAGGCGAAAGAAAGGGGTTCGACCGGCCTGGCAGTTGGAGGACCCGCACTGAACACGTGTGCGCTCGTGTATGATTGTGTGCTCTCGTGTGCATCGTGGGGGATTGGTGTGGTGTTAGGAACGACTCAGTCCACGCTTGCCGCCTCTCCCGCGTTGTGCGTACGCTACATCGTGTGTGTGTGTGTGTGTGTGTGTGTGATATCGCCTGTGCGTGTGTAATTGATTGACAGACAGTAAAGATGTATTCGCTTGAAGACTGGCTCCAGGCATTCAAAAGGGAGGAAGCTGGGATGGGGATGGCGCATGCACACACGCACACGCACACGCACTCGCACGCATTTCAGACGTGGGGGGTGGTGGGGGCGACGCGTGGATTTTAACGTGAAGGCACAGGTACTGAAAGAGAACCGAGTGGGAACCGAGTGGGAACCGAGTGGGAACTGAAAGGAAACGAAATGGTTGTAACTCAAGGAGGGATCTAGTACTGAAAGAAAGAACGAAAGCATGGGGGAAGGGAGGAAGACGGGTGCGATGGACAAAGCGTCGCAGCAGCTGGTGCATGGCTCAACACGCAGCAGTGGCTTGAACAATGGTGAAGACATATCAACTCACATCAAGCAACATAAAGAAGCACACACACATGCACAAACACACAAGCAACTGAATACATACAGGGGCACGTGTGTTAGGGAACGATTGGCGAGGATGTGTCAGGTGCGGGTGCCTGCGGCCGCGATGGACTGAGGACAAGGGCGAGCGTCCTGTCCAAGGATTTGAAGGCGTGAATCTCTGCCAGGCCGCTGATGGTGTGGCGACGTGACAGCGTCCTTCGCTTCGCTTGCAGCGTTCTCAACCGCTTCTGCCGCAGCGCCTGTCGCTGGACACTGAAAGGCGGCGACCTCGCATCTCCATCGGCAGCAAATACATCGTCATCATCGACGACAACAGCAGCGTCTGCTTTCTCTTCTGCCATGAGCGCATCGGCGGCGCCGTCCTCGTCTTGCATACACACGCGGCGGAGCGCGGTGTCGATGGACGTGTGGGCGCGTGTGGTGGAGGGCCACTGGGGCTTGGGGTAGAAGAGGACGTCTGTCTGCGCGAGCGCTGCCAGCTCCTCGTCGTCGGTGTCGTGGTTCTCCGAACCCGTCCAGAACAACGGGCCGCCCCGCAATGGCGTTGTGCAGGCCACACCCTCTTGCTTCCGTGACCCTGGCGGCGTTGATGGCGTCGGTGGCGCAGGCACTCGTGGAGAAGATGCCTTGGTTGTTGTTCCTGCTGTTGATCCTGCTGTTGGTCCTGTTGTTGACGGTGCGTCATCGTGAGAGCTGGTTCCTCCCTCCCTGCTGTCGGTGCTGTCGGTGTTGTTGTTGTGCGAGCTGCCTTGCAGGCTGTGTGTTCGCCTTTCTTGGTTTGCGTCGACTGTCCAGGCAGCGCCGTCGATGGAGTTGCTGCTGCCATTGACTGAGGCCTCTGCACCACTGCTGGCATGTCTTCGGTGGCGCCCGCCTTTCATGCTGTGTATGTGTGTGTGTGTCTGTGTGTCTGTGTGTGTGTCTGTGTGTGTCTGTGTGTCTGTGTGTGTGAGTGTGTGTGAGTGTGTGTGTGTGTGTGTGTGTGTGTGTGTGCGTCTGTGTTTGTGTGTCTGTGTCAACGTGTTTGTGTTTGTGTGTGTCTGTCTGTGTGTGTGTGTGTGAGTGTGTGTGTGTGTGTGTGCGTCTGTGTTTGTGTGTCTGTGCCTGTGCCTGTGTCCTTGTGTCTGTGTCTGTGTCAACGTGTTTGTGTGTCAGTCTGTTGGTGCCTTTGGCGATCGCTCGCTCGCTCGCTCGCTCGCTCACTGGCTGGGCGAGTGGGGTGACGGGAATCGAACGCAGCAGCAACCAACCCGGCAGCCAACAAGGAAAGGAAGCAAAGCAAGGGAATGCGCTCGTGCTCTTGATGCTCACTGACTGGCTGGCTGGCTGGCTGGCTGGACAAACAAGCGTGCTCACTGACTGACTGCTGTTGCTGCTGTTGTTGTGGGTGTTGGGTGCGAAGCAGGGGAAAACAACAGAAGATTATTTTTTTTTTCTTCTTCGACTGTCCTCCTTTGTCCGCTTTCCTTGTGCGGGTGTCGATAGGTCGATGGGTGGCAGCGCACCTCTGGTGCCTCTGTACCTCTGGTGCCTCTGTGCCTCTGGTGCCTCTGTACCTCTGGTGCCTCTGGTGCCTCTGTGCCTCTGGTGCCTCTGTGCCTCTGGTGCCTCCGTGCCTTATCTGCCCCTCCCCTCTCCACCAAACCCATCAACTCAACAATCAACCAACCAGACGACAACGCCAATCGCTCACACACCCTCGTTCTCCCTTTCAAACACAGCCGCATGGCAAGAGAGAGAAAATATTATGTAGTTGTGGGGCGACCAGGACCAGCAAACAAGCACGGGCAGGTGTCGCAAGCAAGCGAGCGAGTAACGATGTACCAAGATAACGCAGAGCGAGGGTGGCAGAAAAAACGAGCCTGCAGGCAGGCAAAGCACGAACAGGGGCAGAAACAAAAGTAGACACAAAGGCAAAAGCAACAGAGCCAAGCTGTATGCAACGCATGTGCGAAAGAGTCGAACTGTAGGATGACATGTCATGTGAAGCATGTCATAAACGAGGGCATGCACAAAACAAAACAAGCAAGGGCGATAGACACTTGGACACACACAGCACACAAAGTGAGGGCGTGCAAACGGCTTTCTTCTTCAGGGCATGAGTGGGACTGGCGCCGTTGCCGCGGGCGGTGGGCTTGGAGAGCGCGAGAGATGCTCCAATGGAGGGGAAGACGGGCTCTGACTCCTGGAGCTGAAGATGTCGCTGTCGTCGATGCTGCTTGACCTGCTCAGCAACTGCTGCATGCACTTTTGTGTTCGGCCCATCCGTTGCCCCTGTGTATGTAGGTATGTGTGTGTGTGTGTG